CGACGGTGTCGCCGGACCGGATGCGCACGGCGGGCGGGAGGCTGCGCGGGGTGAGCGGGGGTGAGCGAGGGAGGCGGGAACGCACCTGTTGTCCCAGGCGAGGTGGGCGTGGGCGCGCTTGACGGCGTGGACGGACGACATGATGGGGCGGGGAGAGGACGGCCCTAACCCTACGTTCGTTGCCCGACCACCGGCCTTTCCGCCGGGCCGGCTGAGTCAGACGGACGATCGGGCGCCTGTCGGGGGTGCGGCGGGGACTCAGCTGGCAGCGTCGGCGCGTCCCACCGCGTCGGTCGACGGCGACAGGCCATCGCGTCGTGGGCGGGTGCAGTCACAAGCGCGCCGTGCGCGGCGAGGGGCGACGGCGGCGGGCGTGGGACGGGAGGCAGTGCTGTGATTGATGGCTGATAGGCTGTGTGGCGGCGCGGCGACTCCCTCTCCTGTTGATCCCCGCCTCGTCCATGTCCTCCCTTCTCTCCTTTGCTCCTGCGTCGCCATTGCCCCCTCCCATGGCCTCCTCCTCCCTCTTCGCCTCAGCCGACGCAGACGACCCTCTCGCCAAAGTCCTCCAGCCCCCGCCCGATGAGTCCCCCGACGACCGCGCACGCCGCATCCAGCAGCAGAAGGACGCGCAGGCCGTCAGCCACAGAATCGACGAGGACATCCAGGAGAGCCGCAAAGCCTTTGAGCGCAGGAAGAAGGCCATCAAGATCCTCCTCCTCGGTACGTCTCACGCCCGTCTCCCCCGCGTCCGTCTCACCCGCGCACCCACAGGCCAGGCAGAGTCCGGCAAGAGCACCACCCTCAAGAGTCCGTCTCTCCGTCCTCGTCCATGTCCACGTTCCCTGACCCCCCGCAGACTTTCAGCTCGCCTTCTCCCCGCAGCACTTTCGCAGCGAACGCGCCGCCTGGCGCACCATCATCCAGCTCAACCTTATCCGGTGCGTCTGCCCTTCTGCCCCTCCCCGCTAAGCTCACCCGCCGCAGATCCATCAAGCGCCTCCTCGAGGTCCTCCAGCAGGAACTCGACGAGTCCACCCAGCCCCTCCGCACCGGCGCCCCCGACAAGGGCAAGGGCAAGGCCGTCGCCCTCGCACCCGCCGCCGCCGCCAACGCCGGCCGCTCGCCCCCCAAGGCCACCGTCCGCTTCAGCACCTCGCCCCTCACCGACCAGCACCGCCGCATGCGCATGCGCCTCTCCCCGCTCCTCCCCATCGAGGAGCAGCTCACCCGCAGGCTCCTCCCCGACGCCAACGACCGCCTCCAGGACGTCTGCGTCCGCGCCGGCAGCGGCTGGAAGGGCCTCCTCGCCGGCATCCAGCAGGACGGCGGCGCGGACGGCCAGGCCAGGGCCAAGGAGCCGCGGCGGCCGAGCACGGCCGAGGGCCGCAGGGACGACCCGACCGCCGTGCTCGCCGCGTGCAGGGACGACATCATCGCGCTCTGGGAGGACCCCGTCGTGCGCGCCGTGCTGAAGCGGAGGGGGGTGCGGCTGCAGGACATGCCCGGCTTGTGCGTCGTTTGTGGCCTTTCTCCGTGGTGCACCCCGCTGACGCTCGCAGCTTCCTGAACGACGCCGCGCGGATCGCGACGATGGGCTACGACCCGACAGACGGTGCGTGCCACCCCCCGTCGCCCGCTTCACTGACTATATGCCCGTCGCCCGTGCAGAGGACATCGTCCGCGCGCGGCTGCGCACCCTCGGCGTCGAGGAGCACAGGTTCACGATGGAGAGCGGTGCGTGCCGCCGTCTTCTCACTCCTCTCGTCCTCACCCCGCGTAGGCGCGCTCCCAGGCTCGGAGTGGTACATCTACGACGTCGGCGGGAGCAGGAACAACCGCCCGATGTGGATCCCGTACTTTGACGACATCCAGGCGATCATCTTCCTCGCGCCCCTCGCGTTCAACCTCATGCTCGAGGAGGACACCAAGGTCAACCGCCTGGTGCGTGCCCGCCCCGCTGCGCACGGAGGCGGTGCGCTGACTAACGCGGCTCTGCAGGAAGACTCGATCATGCTGTGGAAGGAGATCTGCCAGAACCCGCTCCTCGCCAAGACGACGCTGATCCTGTTCCTCAACAAGGTGCGCGGCCCCCTCGCTCTCCCCTCCTGCGCCCCGCGTCGAGGCTGCCCCGCGCGCCTGTGCGCGCTCCGACCGGGCGGACGGGACAGCTTTGCGGTGGACGTGCGCAGGCTGACGTGACACGCGCTGACGTCCGCCTCTGTCTTCTCTTCTTCGTGTTTTTGATCGCATCCCGCGCATCATTGACGGACGCACTCCGTCGACTCCGGCTCGCTCGTTCCGTGCGCGGCTGCCTGTCGACACTGCCCGGCGACGACCGTGCCTCGCGCCGACCGTGCTGTGCGCGTCGCCGTCACCGTCAACTTGCCAAACTCAACAACGGCACAACGCGCGGCCGCCCGGACCCCGCAGATGGACATCCTGCAGGCGACGCTCGCGGCGGGGATCCGCGTGAACAAGTACGTCCCCAGCTACGGCGACCAGCCGAACGACGTCCAGCACGTCACGAAGTGTGCGTGTCCCGCTTGCACGCTGCGCCGCGGGGATCGGGCTGACGGGTGCGCTGCGCAGACTTTCGGGACAAGTTCCGGGGGTACCACAAGCGGCTGTCGCCGCAGGCGCGCTCCTTCTATTGGCACGAGACGTCGGTCGTCGTGAGTCGCCGTGTCGGTACCGCTGGGAGGGTGACTGGGGGCTGACTGCTCCGTTCACAGGACACCCGCTCGACGGCGGCGATCCTCGTTGGCGGTGAGTGACTAGAGTGTTCATAGTCTCTACGCCCATTGCTCATGTCGTCCTCGCGGGGTGCAGTGAGGGAGGGCATCCTGCGCGCACACCTGCAGAGCGTGAACGTCATCTAGCCGGCCGACGCACGCGCGGCTCAAGACGGATCGCCCGGTCGGTACCTCGCGACGCTCCGCCGTCTGCGGTCTGTTCCACGCAACTAACTAGGGAGAGGGTGCCCGAGCACTCCCACACCCCTGGCTCCGGGCGGCGAGCCATCGCACGCACGCCCCGCCACGGCGTGCATCGCCCTCTGCCGCAGGGCCCGCGCCTCGCCGCGCCCCGCATACCCGGCGCCGGTCACCCAGACGGTAGACCCCCGCCTGCTCGCGCTCTCGCACATAACGTTATTATCGCTCTCCGCCATGTTTATAGCTTTAGTCCGCCATCGTTGCGCCCCTCTCATCTCATGGATCTCTCCCTCCCCTCCCTCCTCTCTGTGTTCCGTTCATGGCTGCTTCTCTCGTTCCGGCGTACCTCAGTAATCTCAGTGACTCTGCATCGCATCATCACGTATACGTATGCTTATTAGACCCCCTGCTCTGCGCATGTTGTATCTACCTAGTTCAGTGTACTAATCGTCTGGATCTCGGATTTGGGTTGTCGGTTATCGGAGGCTTTGTGTGCTGTGCTGGATGGGTCGTTTGTTGCGGATGCGGCTCGCTGTGGTACGCCAAGGTTAAGTGTTCTGCGCCCCGGCGCTGCCTGTTGACGGTCGACATTTCCTCGATCGTGACCGTACTCGTCGCCGTGCTTGACGATGTGCTGCCGGCCCTCCGAGAGTGGTCTGGTTTCAGCTGCAGACCGCCCTGACAGTTCCAATGTCTCCGTATGACTGACACGGGTATCGTCAGCATGAGGCATCGATCCACAGCCCACCCGTGTCCAGCTGACCGCTCGCTGGCAGCGACGCCGACAGTCAGTTGACGGAAACGCCGGTAGCGAGGTTAACACAGCAGGCGCCGATAGCGACATTGACGTTGACAGAAGATGGATCCCGCCCGCCCATGATCATCCAGGGGATCCGCAGCCAGACGCATCAGCTCGGTCCTCCCGGGGATGATCGTAGGGGTGACGGACAGTTTATCAGTGGATGCCATCGGAGGAGATGAACTATAGTCGCGCGTACTGCAGAGGCTTGCCGTCTGGAGCGGTTGCGAACGAACGTGGATTATGACCTGAGGTCGGGACTCATCGTGGATCATACATACCTCTAGGCTCTACCTTGTTTGCTGTGCTGGAGGTTCAACGACGACGTCTCGCACCACAGCGGAATCCGGATTGCTCGCTTCGATACGATGCATCCCGCCTCAGGCTGAGACGACACCATCCAAGCCTACAGCGAGAACGCAGCTAAGTGGGTGAAACAGAAGCACGTCGCGAAAATCGTGGCTGACTGCCAGCGAACGGTGTGAGCATTCCGCATCGATGTGACCCGCACACGAAGAAAGGAGGATACACTCACCTGCGCAAGAGATACAGATCATGTCAGACCGAAGAGGAACCTCCTGAAGGCTCCGTAGCAGGAGATAACAATCTTGCGATTGTCCAATGGTACCATACCCTCGCTGTAGCGACGAGCGGGTCTCGGCACCGGGGGAAGATGGGCGTAGACAACCGTCTCTTGCGCGGGGTACTCGCCGAGTTGGACGGCGCGAACGAGGTCGGAGGTGACCGGGATTTTGTAGAATACAGGCATCGTACCCTTCATTGTGATCCCGGGTATGAGCTTGCTGGCAATGGTGTCTCGCCCAAGGGTGCGAAGGCGTGTTTCGTTGATGTTGGACAAAGCGGCAATCGCGGACGCGATAAGCTGAGGCTCAGAATTGGGCCGATCCATGTGTTGTTTGTCTTCTTGGACGAGCACCCCGGGGTCATTGGTGTCGTCCACAAGGCAGACATCCGCCGTTGCAAGTTTCTCTTGGCCGCATACCCAAAAGGGTATGCTCATCCTCGTCCTGGGGACCAGAGCCGTGAGGTCCCCGATATATTGGAGACATTTGAACAGTACGACAGCGTAATCTGCAACGGCGGACTCCTGTCCGTGGCGAGGGTTCATCGCGAGCGCCATGGTGCGGAGCAGCACGTAAGTATCGTCGTGCGCAGCTTCAGATGGGTCCTGGAGAGTGAGGACCTCCTTATGACGAACGTCAGGAGGAAAACGCTCCGAGAGCTTGAAGAATGTCTCGTAATCCTGGTAAACGACTCGGATGTTGTAGGCGAGCAGCTCGTTTGGGGTCCAGTCGCTGCCTGCCTTCGAAGAACGCGTGATATTGGCCATGCTATAGTAGCGCATGAGCCGAGTGTAGGCAAACAAATCCAGCTCGCAATACTTACCCACAAAGAGTCTGAACACCGGAGTGCGGCGAAGACAAGACGTACGTTGTTCGCGTCCCGGTCAGTCTCCCGATCGAACCTCCTAGGCAGTCTCACGTGAGCACCTCCTTAGTACTCAGTCACGATTGCTACTGGTTTCGCGACGACGAACATGGGCGTAAAAACATGATATACGTGAAGATGCAGTCGTTATATGACACATAAATGCGCGTGACTCTACATGATGTACCGTGGATGCACTGAGCAGCAAGATAGCGTGGCGACAGCGGAGCTAATAACGACGATGAGAGAAGGGACGGGCGATGGTTCGCGAGTGAAGGGCATCAATGCACAATGCAGGTTGTATGAAAATGAACGTCCGATGCAAGAAAAATAAGTACGTGAAATACGAACTGGTATGCGAAGACGCCATGCGTCAGGGATTCCGAGCTATCGGCGACGTTGCTCTGGATGGTGCCTCAGACGGCGCAGACCCGAAAAGCAGGACGCTCGTTGCAAGCAACGCCCTCAACTCGACTATGCACTCCCCGCATCTCGCATGCACCTCCCGCGCATTCTCGAGCAGCGGCCGAATGTTCTCTGGTGTCATCGCCAGTTTTAGATCACCCAGTCCGGACAGATCCAACCCGGGGTCGGGGCTGGTAATCCCTTGAGGTGGCGCTGAGCGCACACTACCCGTCTGCCCACCCTTGTGGGCAGGCTGTCGCGATCCATTGGATGGTTGACGACTGCTTGGACTAGGACTAGGACCAGCGGTAGTCGAGCGCTCGTTGCCTCGAGAAGGCGGGCGAGGTTTCCGGCTTCCCGTTAGTTGTTTGAGGCGCGAAGTTGGTGAGGCTAGAATGGATGGCGGAGGCAAGGCGGACGCGGAGCGACGGGGCGACGGTTCGGGACTCCATACAGACGACTGTGAGGCCTCGGGGAGCGTGGTGTGATGGGGCGACCATGGAGGTCACGGTCGCGCGGCTTCCGTTGCATCAGGTACGGCGACTTACCTCTGTCTTTCTTCAGACGTCCACGAACAGTAGCAGTGCCTGTCGTATCCGGTGCGGTCGAGCCCTCCAGCATGCGAGCTGTGCGCTCCAGATCGAACGCCGACTCAACTTGGTCCCAGTCCTCCTCGCCCTCCTCCGTTAAGCCGGTCGGCCCGCCCGACGTCGCAGAGCTCGGATTCGACGAGCCGAGGTCGTCCGACGACTGTTCGTTGTTGCCAGCATTCGACCTGTTCTTCTGGCCAATGCGGAAGATTGAAGCGAGGGAGGGACGGCGAGGTGACGATCGGTGGAGTGACATCGAGGTTGCGTACGGCGAGTTCGGGTGCCGGTCGTGTTCTCGTATGGACTTCATCGACTCGGGGCCCGTACTCGTCTTCGCTCGCCTTCTCTGCACTAAGCTCTGGTGCCAAGACTCAGTGGTCACGTTGTGAACCGAGCTCTCCGTGCTAGCAGACACAGATATTGTTGAGGTTGGGACAGGGGACAACGACGTCGGAGGGTTTTCAGCGTAGCTCTTCTTCAGGCTTTTGAGCATATCCCTGATGCCCCGCATGCCCAGCTTGCTGCTCCTCCGCTTCTGCTTCTTGGCTGCCACTGCCGCTGCCGATGCGCCCGAGCCACTAGCCTGAGTGCCATTCTCGCTAGGGAGAGTGATCGTGCTGCCCAGCGGGTCACCCCAATGCCAGGTACGATTCACGGCGGCCGAGTTCCAGTCTTCCTCGGGAATCGGCAAGCGGGAGTCCATCGTCACAGAGCTATCGGGGTTGTTGAGCATCTCGCGCAGCAAGATCAGTTGCCGCGAGCTGAGGTCATGTCTCCCAGTTGATGCGCGCCAATGCGCCGTGCTAGGTGGACTCGCGAGCGGAGGAGAGCTTACCGTCCCCGGGGCTACGATGATTGGCTTTGGCTCATCTCCCGCGAGAGTCACGGCCCGCTCACGGCCCTTCCTGCCTTCAGATACGACTGCCGCCGCCGACGTCGCTGCTGGGTCATGCGGCGGCGAAGTTGGTGCGGACGACGGATGGGGAGGCGCGCCGCTTCCGAGCTCGATCAACAGCTCAGCGCACTCCCACGAGATTTGATACTTGCTTTCGATAGAATGAAACGCCAAGATGAGCTCATGAGGCGTCTGGGGGACCGGTGAAGGTGCCGGGTTAGTATTCGAGCGTGCCCTGGAGGATGGTCTTGAGAGGCCGAAGAATGTAGGAGTAAGGGCTCGCGAGTGCATGTCAGGAGGGTGCTCGCCGTACATGACGGACTGGATCTCGCCGACCAACGAACGGTACGTCTGTTGCAGCTGCTTCAATTCTGCGGAGCGCCAAACCGGGTCAGCCATATGGACGACGTCAAAGAGAACCTACACTCACGCTCGATGCTCGCAGCGAACTCTCGTACCATCCCTAGATCCCTGCGCAGTCCGACCTGTGCCTGACTGATCCTCGCGGGGATCTTCAAGTCGCCCAGTGAGTTCCTCCGCGGGACCGAACCTACCCCAACAGTTTCCAACTCCTTCAGCGGCTGCGTCGCCCTGCCCAATGACGCCGCCTGCCCCGGAGACGAGGCCAGCTTCGGCTTCGTGGGCGACGGGAGCGGCGACGGGATAGGGGACATCGAGGGCACAACCTCACCTGACGGACGAGACGCGAGCGGGGTCGCCGAGCGGGACGACGAGAGTGCCGGATGGGAGCGCGACGGCTCGAGGCCCAGATGCGACCTGAAGAGCTTGCTCAGGTCCGGCACATCGCGCTTGCACTCACGCGGGGGCGAGGGTGGCTGAAGTTCGATGGGCGGGAGGAGGGGCGCGTCCTGCGACGTGCGGATCACTCTCGACGGCGGCCGAGGTGTCGTCTCCTCCGCGGGCTCCCTCTCCGCACGAATCGTCGCTGCGCCTGACGACTTGCGCGCCTGCTCCTCGCGATCGGGCATCTTGCTGGACGTACGCTTGTGTTTGCTGCTCCCGCCGAGGCTGATGCGCCGCATTCCGCCCATGAAGCTCCTACTGCCCTCCTTCGCCTTCGTCGGGTCCTGCTCCACAGACTCCGTCTCCGACTGCCTCTGTGAGTCCGTGGCATACTGCCGGTGCTGACCTCGGAGTCGCCGGCCTTCGCGGACGGTCAGGCTGCGATCGCTTCTGCTCACGTCCTCCACGCTCGCGGACGCCACGCTCGCTGACGTCGAACGCTGCTTCGAGCTCCCGCGACTGCTCGGCGTCGCCGACCTCCTGCCGAGGTCGTATCCGTATGACGAGTGTCGTGGAACGGGCGGTCGCGAGCTCCAGCTCGACCCAGAGCTCGATCCCTGCGAGCTGGAAGGGTGGAGCTGAGGTGCCTGCACAGACATCGGGCGGGACGGTTTGCGCTTCGGCGTCCCGAAGAACAGGGCAGACGAAGACACGGTGCTTCCGTCTGTCAGTCTGATCGAGCCCGTGTTGTCGGCATTGAGGTCCTTGAAGGGCGCCTTGCCTTTGCGCGGCGACGTCGGTGGGGTGCGCTCGATGCCCGCCATGGCCAGCAGGCGGTCTACGCTGGTCTTATGCTCGAGCGTTATCGGGGCGGGCGGCGGAGGCCCCGGCCCACCGCCGCCGCCACCGCGAAAAAACCAGCTCCCCTTCGGATGTGAGGAAGCTGGTGGTGATGAAGGTATGATGCTCGCCACGGACTGCGGGCGCGATACCAACTCTCGCTCTCTCTCAGGGTCCCGCCCTCTGTCTCGCTCCCGCTCGGTGTGGTGCTCCTGCAGCGCGATCTCCGTCGGCCCGGTGCTCGCGCGTTTCTTGCGTCCCGCGCCCCACTTCTTGCCGACCGAGCCAATGCGCGAGAGCAGGGGTGTCTTATTTGAGCCCGAGGAAGGACCAGGGGTGATGGGCGGCGGGGCTTCTGGAGGAGGTTCTTCGAGTGAGAGGCTGGCGCGCTTCTCGGGCGTCGTAGGCGCCTGGATGAGTGCTTGGCCGAGGTCGTCAGGGAGCTCCTCCAGCTCGTACATGCCGGGTGTCGCATTTGCTGGTGGTCTCGACTTCTTGCGTAGACGCCGCCTCTCGCGGTGGATCGGCGGGCTCGGCGGGAGGTGGGCGAGCGCCGAGTTGCCTGTAGAGAGTAAATGAATGTGGGATGTCGTCGAGTACGCCGTGGAGTCGCGATGACCATTCGATGAGACTGGCATTGAGAAGACGGAGGGTGTAGGCGAGTGCGGGAGCGGTGAAGGCAGGGGAGGAACTGGAGGGGGGACGTCGCCAAAGTGCAGGGGCATCCCACGCGTCCGCGAGGTTACCGTCTTGTCCTCCTCCGACGCTGCAAACCCAAACTCGTCCTCATCATCAGACGATCCCCACCTGGCCTTGCCTTTGGGCGAGCGACCCCCGCCGCCATCGTCAAAGTCCTCGTCCCAATTCTCATGCTGCCCCGAGTCGACGTGCGGCACGCGCGAGCGACCACGCGCCGGGGAGTCTGTGCTGTCGCGGAAGTCGTCATCCCAGTTCTCTGGCTGCTCGGACGACCGCTTGGAAGGCGTGGACGGGCCCGGCTCTGTCCAACGCTTGAGAGTGTTTTTGCGGTCCTTGGAGAGCGGCGTCGTCGGTTCGGGACGCGCGCCCTCAGGGAGACCGCCATCCCCGCGGGAGTTGCGCTGGTTGAACTCGAAATCATCGTCCCAGTTCTCCTCGGGACCTGCTGGCACGCGATGAGCGGGCGATGGTGGCGTGTGGGGGCAGCACGTACCTTGGGGGAGTGGGACAGCCATGCGCGGTGGGGATTGTCGTGAAGTCGTTGCGGAAGTCGTTGAGCGCGGTCCTTGCGCGCGTTGAGGACTGTGAGCGAGGGCGACACGTTATGAACGAGGCGGTCGTTGGGCAGAGACAACACACTCGAGCGCGCGTCGCCCGGCTATTGGCTGTTGCCTTTTTCAGACAACGCGTGCCTCGTGTCACGGCGACCGTGGACGGACGCCTCCAGCGGTCTCTTCGACCTTGTACGTACGCGGCCGTCAGGGCAACACAAGTACTTCCGAGAGCATGCAGTCTTCGTGGCTCATTCACTCCCCAGTCGGACTATGGGTTCTGCAGATGCGGCCTACACGTACGTGGATATATATATACTCAGGCCGACTAGTACTACCTCATAGCGCGTGCGTAGATAATGCGTCCAGCTTGATCATTTTTGCTAACTCTCTTATGCATCGACGCTCGTATGTTGTACTCGCGTTGACCATATCTGAATCCGAGTCGACGTTAGAAGCTCCCCGCGCGCGCGAAGGAACGAAGGCAATTCAGTACTAGTACCGACACACCACAAGGCCCTCTATAGGCACACGATCGCAAATCATGAGAGATAATCGATAAACTCTGTAGAAGCTGCAGTGGACTGACGACTTTGGCAAAGCGTCCGAGGAGAATGACAGCATAAACGATTAATGGATGAGGAAGGTATTGTGTATCAGAACTGTCCGGGCACTCGCTCGGTTGTAACAGTTGTTATCTCTCATCGCTTGTATTTTGTTATGGTTGTGGAGCGGGACAAAGTCGTCGACTGGCCCACCGACAGGTCCGAGTCGCCGCCACTACCATCCGTTCAGGAAAGAGCGCTAGCCGATGACACAGTACCAGAAGAACGCGAGAAATACTGTACTCTGGTACGTGCATAGTTTGTGCGCTCCCCGTGCAAGGAAAGATACAAAGGCACATTACAAAGGACCATAGTGATGTTGACTGAACAAGACGTAGCCGTTCGGAAGCGCGGCGGGAAGTATGATCCATCCCGCTTAATGCCTATGACAATCGCTGGTGCCTCAATGTACTGTGAACGGCACGGAGATGAAAGGTGCGAGCGAATAGCATTCGATAACAGATATAACAAGCTACGACAACAGTGTACAGTGACGCGACATCACGTTGACGGTCGGCTCAGCCATCCGCGACTTGTATCCAAAGCGAGTGCAAAGCAAGAGCAATCGACGACCGAAATACGATTATGTTACCAAGAAAGGACCTTCGAGAAATGATGACATCGCCGTGGATGTTTTGTGTTTCTAGGACGAGCATGCCGATCATAGTGCGACCCAGTGAGTTCTCCGTCAACGACAGATTGATACTCAGGCACTCACATCTACGCCATGGCTTCAGGAGGGGCACACGCCGGGTGCCTCTGGCGATGTCTGCGCAGAGACCCCGGCCGCGTAAACACCTCCGTGCATTGCTCGCACGGCACCTTGCGCATGACATGGGTGTGTCGCTCGTATACGTGCCTCCAGAAGTTGGTCACCTCGAGGCTGCATCCGTCCCACTCGCAGCATATCTTGACTTTGTCCTTGTCCACGAAGGACCGCGCGTTCTTGAGGTGGGTCTGCTTAATGTGCGCCTTGATCGCGAGTTTCGTGAGCTGAATACGGGCGCCGCACCCATCCCACATGCACGTCATGTGCGTCACCTCGTCGGTTGCGGGCGTGGGCTGTGATGCATGACGCTTTCCCTCCCATGTCAGCACGCGCAACCACAGTTGCGTATAAGGCAGCCATACCGATGAAGATTCCTGGGCGTTGTCGGACAACGAGTACGTTTCGGCCACGTCAGGTTGATGAGGCACCGGAATAGCGGCTTGACCGTCGAACATGTTGACATTATGCATAGACTCGACTCGGGGCGGTTCTGGGGCCGACGTGTCCGTGATGATGCCTTGCACGCCCTGGAGGTGATATTCTGCTCAGGCGTGGTACGCGGATGATAGATGACATGTACTCACATATAACTCCAGTACATCCTAGAATAACAGCAAGATCATGGTCAGGACATGGACGTTATCTGCGAAGGATGGATTCTCACTGCGTCATATACGTTGTATATATGCCCGCTGTCAGCGATGCTCATGTTGAAGGCATACGGTGGATACACGGCGGCTTCCGTGGAGGATCCTAGACCGAATGCCTGTGGCTGATCAAGCAGAGACTCGTCAACATGACTTGGGTTCACTTCGTCGACTGGCAAGTCGCCGGACACGTCTAGGGCGGGGAGCCTGAGGCAACAATCGACGAATGAGCTCGCGATTGCATGGCACGGATGCTCGACGTACCTGAAGTTCATTGGCATATGGTCCCGAAGCAATTCACAGGTAGTTATGTGCAACGGTCCGCGACTGCTGATGTGGTACCGTGCGGGACTGGGGTTGGTGAATCAACATGACATAGGACTGGTCGATGATTATAAGGGAGTCACCGGCCAGACGGGATTCCACCCAATCCTCATGTAGCACCACGTCCAGGCGATAGTAACCTGGAGTGCATGGTAGGCGCTGCATGCGCATGTCTTGAGAAACACCGCCGATAGTGTGGTCAAATGGAATACTGACCTGAACTCGGATTTGACTTACGATCCCGTCCTTATGTCATATTAAAGTTATGTAATGGGTGCCGGCATTCTCGCATATGTCAACCAGTCACGTCCACCTATAACTGAACCTTACTTCGATACTAGTAGTACGGCACAATAGAAAGCGAGATCAACAAGAAGCATACATTGCGAGGACGCATCCGCGGCGTCTACTAGTAGTACGGCACAATAGAAAGCGAGATCAACAAGAAGCATACATTGCGAGGACGCATCCGTGGCGTCGGGCACTTACCACTTTGTTCGCGGTGCTTGTTACCTTGCGACTGCAAGGTCTCTTCGGGGGTCTGAATTCGTCGTGAGAAATTTCCGCTTTTGTTGGCCTTGTTTGTCCCACCTCCAAATCCGGCCAGACGGGGCTTAGCTGTCGCCCTCCGCATACCGAACTCAACCTACTGCGCCATGTGCATGAGCCTTCGCTGTGCATCGTTCTCGTCGACATCGCGCGCGTAACTGTTCAAAATGTTCGTCCTCCTGTAGTAGGTACTCGTCTGAGCACCTTTGGATCGGCCTTCAAATTGCCTCGAAGCTTGACGAGCCCGGGAAGTGGTAAGTGCCCGACGCCACGGATGCGTCCTCGCAATGTATGCTTCTTGTTGATCTCGCTTTCTATTGTGCCGTACTACTAGTAGACGCCGCGGATGCGTCCTCGCAATGTATGCTTCTTGTTGATCTCGCTTTCTATTGTGCCGTACTACTAGTATCGAAGTAAGGTTCAGTTATAGGTGGACGTGACTGGTTGACATATGCGAGAATGCCGGCACCCATTACATAACTTTAATATGACATAAGGACGGGATCGTAAGTCAAATCCGAGTTCAGGTCAGTATTCCATTTGACCACACTATCGGCGGTGTTTCTCAAGACATGCGCATGCAGCGCCTACCATGCACTCCAGGTTACTATCGCCTGGACGTGGTGCTACATGAGGATTGGGTGGAATCCCGTCTGGCCGGTGACTCCCTTATAATCATCGACCAGTCCTATGTCATGTTGATTCACCAACCCCAGTCCCACACGGTACCACATCAGCAGTCGCGGACCGTTGCACATAACTACCTGTGAATTGCTTCGGGACCATATGCCAATGAACTTCAGGTACGTCGAGCATCCGTGCCATGCAATCGCGAGCTCATTCGTCGATTGTTGCCTCAGGCTCCCCGCCCTAGACGTGTCCGGCGACTTGCCAGTCGACGAAGTGAACCCAAGTCATGTTTACGAGTCCCTCAGGTTTGATCAGCCACAGGCGTTCGGTCTAGGATCCTCCACGGAAGCCGCCGTGTATCCACCGTATGTCTTCAACATGAGCATCGCTGACGGCGGGCATATATACAACGTATACGACACAGTGAGAATCCATCCTTCGCAGATAACGTCTATGTCCTGACCATTGATCTTGCCGTATTCATAGGATGTACTGGAGTTATATGTGAGTACATGTCATCTATCATCCGCGTACCACGCCTGAGCAGAATATCACCTCCAGGGCGTGCAAGGCATCATCACGGACACGTCGGCCCCAGAACCGCCCCGAGTCGAGTCTATGCATAATGTCAACATGTCCGGTCCAGCCGCTATTTCACTGCCGCATCAGCCTGACACAGCGCAAGTGGCCGAGACGCACCCTTTGCCCGACAACACCCAGGAATTTCCATCGGTATGGCTGCCTTATAGCTACCCGTGGTTGCGCGTGCTGACATGAAGGGAAAGGGTCACGTATCACTGGCAGAGCCCGAGCCCGCAACCGACGATGCGACACACATGACGTGCATGTGGGATGGGTGCGGCGCCCGTATTCGGCTCACGAAACTCGCGATCAAGGCGCACATTAGGCAGACCCACCTCAAGAACGCGCGGTCCTTCGTGGACAAGGACAAAGTCAAGATATGCTGCGAGTGGGACGGATGCAGCCTCGAGGTGACCAACTTTTGGAGGCACGTATACGAGCGACACACCCATGTTGGCACGCGCAAGGTGCCGTGCGAGCAATGCACGGAGGTGTTTACGCGGCCGGGGTCTCTGCGCAGACATCGCCAGAGGTACCCGGCGTGTGCCCACCCTGAAGCCACGGCGTAGATGTGAGTGCCTGAGTATCAACCTGTCGTTGACGGAGAACTCACTGGGTCGCACTAGCGTGCGCACTATGATCGACGTGTTCATCCTAGAAACACAGGTTACTCCTTGGAGATTTCTTGCCTTTGTAATTGTATCCCGTTGTCGATTGCTTCCGATCCGCTTTGTACTTGCTTTGTATACGTTTTCTATGTCGCGATCCCTAACCAGAGGAAACGACGGATGTTTTGAGTCTGTGTAAAACAGAACCTTGTGTTATTCGTCGCATTTAGTTCCCTCTCGAGTGCCTGCCTCCGAGTGTAATGGTACTAAACGCCGAGGAGGTCCGGGAGTGACTAATGCACGACTCTCCGATGTTCTTGTTGTTCAATGACATCGTCGAGGTAGGACGAAGGACGTGAGTAGAAATCAATACACAGCAGATACAATTAGCTACGACCAGATACGACACAAACAGACGACATAGACATAGACAGTCGGCTCAGTCATCACCGATTTTGGGTGCTAGATAGTAGCGAATGTGGCCTTGGCCGAACTCGTACGAGACCTACAAAGATGGAGCCCGCGTAAGTCAACTGTCAACCAGTCAGATCACCATGAACGCACCAATAAAGGGACCTCGTTGCTCATCATGAGCTGGACGACGTTCGACAGCGAGCCGCTCTTCGAGAAGTTGACGAGGTACTTCAAGCTGAACGTCAGGTTGACGTGTGCGTTCATCTCGACCTTGACACCCTCGGGCAGCTCGTCGTCGTCGTCTTTCTTCGCCTTCTTCGAGGGCTTGGAGCTCTGCGGGACTGCGTCAGGACGCGTGTATACCCAGCTGCTCCGAGTGTACGTACCTTCGCAGGCGCCTTCTTGCGCTTTTTACTTGAAGACTCCTCCTCTTCCTCTTCCTCCTCATCGTCCTCGCCCTTCGGCTTGAACTCTTGTTCGTCCTCCTCTTCACCTTCGCCTTCACCTTCGCCTTCCCCGTTCATCTCCACATCCTCGCCATCTTCTTTCTTGACCTTCTCTTTCTTGATCTTCTTCTTCTTCGGCTTGTCTTCGTCCTCGTCCCCGTCCTCTTCCTCAGGTTCGTCCTCCTCCTCTGGTTCATCTTCTTTCTTCGACGACGACCCGCCCTTGCGCGTGCTCGCCTGCGTATCGCGGAGGAGGATGTTCCCGTTCGCAGCCTCGCCGTCGCTGATGAAGCGCACGCCCTCCTTCGAGACCTCGATCCTGACAGATTCCCCGAGCTGCGAGAGGTCACGCACGATGCGGGCGAACTCGTTCGCGGGCATTGTTACGCGTGCGTCGTAGTCCGTGTCGGGGATGTTCAACGTGTCCGCGTCGATGTCCATCAGCTTCATCTCGTACTCCGCGATCCGGTCCGTGTCTGGCCACGCATGAGTCAGCAGGGCGCGCACAGAGAGGAAGGGAGGGACGCGACGACTCACTTCGTGCCTCGTATGTGAGGCTGAGTACGTCCGCGTCGTCGTTCGCCTTGAGAATGCACACGTCGTCGTCCTTCGCGCACTTAAGTACCTTCGTGAACGACGCGAGGTTCACGCCGAGCGGAATGGGGCGGTCGCATCTGTACCGCTTGAAGCCTGACGCCTTCAAGCTGACCGCGACGAGCGCGACGTGTGAGTTGTCCATCGCTTGCAGGTTCTGCGCGACGCGCGACGATCTTTAGAGTCAGCGCGTAGCACGCGCGAGAGACGCGTAGTACGTACCAGGCCCTCCTCATTGCACTCAAAGTTGGCGTCGGTGACAAGCTCTTTGATGGCTGCAGGTCACGGTGAGCGATAGGAAAGAGGCTACACGGGACGAGCGCACCATCGAGCAGACGCTTGAGAATGGCGGCTTCATTGAGACGCGCTTCGAGCATGGTGGATGGTGAGGAGATGGGACGCGGGGAGAGAGAGATGGAGGCAGAGAGACAGACGCGTCGAACGCGTCCGATTGTTGTGACCTAAATAACGAACGCGCCTGTCACGCGGAATCACGTGCTGTCACCCAGCGGCCACAAACGCGTGGACGCGTTCTGGGCGGACAACTTAGGTACGCCAGACCGCGTTCTTTGCAAACCGGGGTGAGACTGTTATACTGCTTAGGAACGGAAACTTCGCAGACGATATCTTAGCTACCAGCTGGTCTGCACGTCCACAAAACGCAGGTTTAAATCCATAAAATCTTATCTGCAGTTTAAGGTACGGCAAACAACCCATCATCAAGTCAAGGAAAGCACCATCCTTACCGATCTGCCTCCCAGCCACGTCCCCTATTGATTTTTCTTCCCAAACAGCTTCGCAAATAACCCCTTCGGCCCACCCTGTTGCTTCTTATACGTTGCGGCATTAGCGTCGGTCGCCTTCTTGATCGCCTTGCTCATCTTGCTGTTCTGCCTGTTCCAATTGCGCCACGCCCCCTCGTGCTCTTCATGCGTCTTGTAGTGCTCGCGCTGCGGCTGGTCGAGCCCCGCGGTATGGGCGTCGGTCGCCTTCTTGATCGACTTCGCCATTTTGCTGCTCCGCCTGCTCCACTGGAGCCATGCCTTCTTCCACTCTTCGTGCGTCTTGTAGTGCTCGCGCTGGGGCTGGTCCAATTCGTTTCGCGCGACGAGCGCGGCCGAGAGGTATCCACGACGGAGGAGGTCGACGATGTCGACGTTCCCGCGCGCGGACAGGGAGAGGTGGGCGTCGCTTCCGGCTACGAGGTGGTCGAGGAGCTGGAGATCGCGCGCGTACAAGGAAACGTCGGCGTCGCTGCGGGACCTGGAGTGCGAGTGTTGTGGTCAGTCGTAGATCGAGGATGAGGACATGCGGACGACGTACGCGAGCATGTAGTCATCAACTGGACGCGCTACCGCGACGGAAGCAGCCGCGACGAGGACGGCGAGAGGGAGAAAGCTTGAGAAACGCATACCGAACGAGTACGATGCGGGTTGGAGAAAGGTCGCTGGTGGTGCAGGGGAGGAATGAGTGGTCGTGAGAAGATGATAGGCGTTCAGCTATACGTGAAGGAATCAAGCAAGGCTGATGATCGCCAGTGGGTAAGGACTATGGTCAGCGTGAGTGCATCGCGGGGTACGTACCAACCAGTGCACTCGCTGTCGGCCAGCTTCGAAGCAGATAGGAACGCTGAGGCCTGAGGGACCATCGTGGGGTGTCTGCGTTTATATACTCTTCGCCAGGGATATTGATGCGCACGTTGCGCTGACACGCTCTCCGACTGCCCAGAACAACCACTACTGTAAGCGCTGTCCCAAAGGTTACGGATCAGTGGCATCACTGTAGGACAGGGCAAGATCTGTCATTGCAAGGCGCTAACAAGCTCACTACATATGGCAGCTAAAGTAGCAGCTGCACTGTTGTGTGAGTCTTCGCGGAAAAGGGAGCCAACCTCGCGCCTGCGTGGCTCCCAGCTCCCCAGACTCGAGGGACGGTACTTTTCAACCTCTCCAGGAGCAATGCATGCTTTGTGGCTGCGCAAATTTGAGCCAATGCAGTGCTTGCCGGACAATAGGTCGTTTGACGGGTCATGCACAAGCTATGCTTCCAAGTTCAACCCGAATGAATCCAAGAAGATCCAAGACTCTTCTTGGTCGCAAATGCCGAGGTCGCATGATCCCGACTCACCATAACGAGCTACATTCGGAGACGGTCAACCACAACGCAACGCTCTGACGGCTGCTACTATCCGCATTCACTAGCGCATAGCACACCCGGTCATCACACCGTACGTGCATCCCGAACTTTGCCAACCAAGCTCCGGGACGTCGACAGTCCCACTGGCATCGATCTCCACTCCGAGTCGAGGCGTTGCTCGTGGGGAGCGCCTCTGGATGGCCTGCGGCGAGCCAAAAGGTAAGGCGTTTTGAAAGAGCGACTAGGGACAGTCCATGACACGGCGTGCAAATGGGTCGAGTGGAATGTGAGGAGCAGTTGGCATCGACAGAGGAGGAACAGAGTTCGAGCGGCGGCAGTGCGCGAGATCTGATCGTGATCGACGCCACCGCGACCCAGCCACCCGTACACGACCGTGCCACTAACGGCTCTCCCCTCGGCCGCCAAAGATTCAGCGGTCGTGGTGTGGTCTGCCTAAGGGCGACTACCTTGCACCGATCCACTGTATTTCGTGACTCGCGTATAGCCGCACATTCGCGAACTCTTGTTTGCCAGTCGGCCACTACTGTTTTACCATCATGCGGTAGGTCATCAACTCAAACCACCCCTTCGTCGCCCGATGAGTCCCCGCAAACATCAACGGCGCTGCGACGGCTGGATTTCCGAGGCGATCGGGACAGAAAATAGTTGTGAGCCTCGCAGCCAAGTTTCTCATTTCAGGTTCTCCGTCGTTTGCAGCACGAAGCCGCGAGTCGTGGCAGGTACGTCCTCCTCGGTGTCTGAAATCTCTCGAAGTCCATTGGGATAACACCTGCGACTGTATTTTGTTAGCTTCATGCGCTCTGCGGGACCATGCTCAACCAGAAACGTATAGAGGACGCAGTTGGGGTTCAGACATCCCAACGGCATGTTAGTCAACTTGAAGTCCACATCCTGAGCAGTACATAATCGGAGGAATTGTTGTCTGCGGCCGAATGTTCAATGCACCCGGATCATGACAATACCCGGAGAAAGCGTCTCAAGCCGACTGCGTCCACGGACATGAGAATATGACAGCCGCCATGCGATCCGGGTTCATCGACACTAGTACGAAGCGTTTTCGGGCCCCTAAAATTGACGGGAAAGGGGTGAGTGCCACTCTACGCATCCGAACAAACAAGATATACTCATGGAGAATGAGCAGAGGGGTGAGCCCGACTTCTGTGACTCGCAAACCGAAGCTGAGTCATAAGCACGGGACTACACTACGTGCCATGTCGAGACTCACGCTGCTTTTGATATCTGACGTCTCTGCTTTCGAAATTCGCGGCTAGGAACGAAGGGCGACTAGCACCCGCGCAAAGCGACGGCGAGTTTTCGGGCAAAGCCTTTGAATACGGGCTGAGCGTACGTTCGACCTCCGGGAGCCGTCCGCATGTCCGTTTCTGACGTACAAGACGATATCGCTGACCAGCTCGCAGTCGCGATACTCTACGTCGAGCAGGATCTATCAGCGACCTGTGACAAAGGCCGCCTTCGACCGCTGGTGGGGGAAGTATGCTGGCAGCAACTCCTACACTGCGCGAACACTCGACTCCCGCCGCTTGACGTCTGCGTGAGCGTCGAAAGAGATACGTACTCCCCAGCATGATGCCGTCGATCACCGAGCACTCACATCCCAGACCTCCAGTGACGGGGCAAAATGCGCCAACACCAACCTCCCGACGACGCAGGTATCCAACCGCGACGTCAAGCACCATCTCTACAACCAGATGGGGATGTACGACCCGGGCTCGAAGGAGATCCTGGACAAGAGCATCTTGAAGTTGGGCGGGCGGCTGCGTAATATTGACGACTGTGTACAGAGAAGACTGGCAACGCACTCGGGCTTGCCGGCTGTACGATGGGAGGTATCTTGTCAGCGAGAACGCGCGCAGAGTGTGTAGGTGCGTAGTCGCTACAATTACATCGCATTTTGGTTTACTCATAGACGTCCGTACTCTCTGAGAACCGCAGTGAGTCGCTGGGCCATGCGGGTGCTTTGGATGGAACCTTTCCCATCTATTAGCTGGTCTGCACGTCGCGCCGACATTCTGTATACGGGGTGAATTGAACGGAGTTAGGATGCCTCTCGAGAAGGGCACACTTCATCGAGACACCGCGCACGACTGCCATCGCAGCATGTCTGGACACACCAAGTACTCGGAGTCCAGGTTTCGACCAGCACGTACGTACGTCACGTTTCAGCACAGGCTCCGACGTTCGGACGATATCCTTGTATGAAGTCTCATCTGCAGTCGCCAGTGAGGTACAGCAAACAGCCCACCAAGTCGAGGAAGGCGAACCCCCCGGCCGATCCCGCCTCTCAGCTACGTCCCCTACTGCTTCTTCCCAAAGATCTTCCCTATGATCCCAGGCTTCGACCCGCCGCTCTGTTGCTGGTACTTCTTGGCATTCGCGTCGGTCGCCTTCTTGTACGACTTGTCGAACTTCCTGTTCTGCGCGTTCCACTTGAGGAACGCCTTCTCGTACTCCGCGTGCGTCGCGTAGTGCTCGCGCTGCGGCTGGGCGAGCGGCGTGGTGTGCGCGGCGGTCGCCTTCTTGATGGACTTCTGCATCTTGCGGTTCCGGCGGTTCCACTGGATGAACGCCTTCTCGTACTCCTCGTGCGTCCGGTAGTGCTCGCGCTGCGGCTGGTCGAACTCGTTCCGCGCGACGAGCTCGGGCGCGAGGTACTCCCGGCGGAGGAGGTCGACGATGTCGAGGGTGTCGCGCGCGGAGAGGGAGAGGTCGGCGTCGCTCCGGGCTACGAGGTAGTCGAGGAGCTGGAGGTCGCGCGCGGACAAGGACATGTCAGCGTCGCTGCGGGACCTAGAGGAGGGGTGATATGGTCAGTCGTGGATCGAGGTGAGGACATATGGGCGACGTACTCGAGCATGTATTCATCAACTGGATGTGCTACCGCAACAGAAGCGGCCGCGGCGAGGACGGCAAGAGGGAGGAAGCTTGAGAAACGCATACTGAGCGAGTACGGTGAGAAGACGGGATGAGGTTAGGGTGGAGGTGGTCGTTAGAAGGGCGGTAGGCGTTCAGCTGTACGTGAAGGAATCGAGCAAGGCTGGTCGTCGACAGCGGGTAAGGACTATGGTCAGCGTCGGTGCCTGCGTGAATGGCATCGCGGGGTACGTACCAACCAGTGCACTCGCTGTCAGTGAGCTTCGAAGGAGAAGACGGAGCTGAGGGGCCATCCCGGGGTGTCTGCGATTATATACTGCATCGGCTAGCGCTGTGCGGTCGACCGCGGATATCGGTGATGGTGCTCAGGTCACTGTCCACGTTGCGCTGAGACACCCTTCGACCGCCCAGCACAACTCAGGTGAGCGCCGTCTGGATTCCATGGGATTGGCAGATCAGCTGTGGCCCGAGGATCAATGTTGGTCTCATACGCGCCCGGTCACCACGGCACAATTCCCGAACGTGTGCGGTGGTGGGGAGCGACCTACGTACGTACTCCCGTCGGATGCGTACGAGACCTGGGGAAATGACAGGGTGTGATCTGACATTGCAAGACGCTAACAAACCCATAAACGTAGCAGCTGCACCGTACATATTGAGTCGAAACCCAAACCCCGCGCCTGCGCAGTGTCTTCCCGTTCCCCAGGGCACGGTACCGTTACTTATGTTTCCATCAAATTCGTGGGGAGCGGGAACGCTCGGTGCACCGCTTTGTGGTCGCCGCCCCGCCAGGAACAAGACACGGGTGATGCTGTCTTGATCGGTGCCCGCGCCTGCCGGTGAACAAGTCGTTCTGGCGCCCACACCGCGGCCACTGAATGGCTCCTTCTCCCGTGAGCCGCGCTTCCAAATTCCCGTCAACCCGAGTCGACCGGCGCATGGCAGATCCCGACTCGGGCGGCCTCGCGCCGCCCGGGTTTCGATCCCGGCGGTGTCAGCTCCCCCGACTCACCATAAATCGAGCTGGTCTCTCCGAGTCCGAGGCAGACCGCGAGTACGACGCACGTCTGTGTGAGCTTCGCAGTGACGAGCTACTGCACTATGCGCCCGGATCCAGACTGGCTGAGAGACGGTCAGCCGCAACACAACCCTGTAATCATCATCCGCATTCGCTACTATGCACACAGCACACCCACCGACCGCCACCCGCCGCACGTACATACATCGCCGACATCAGCGATCACCAGCGCAGCGCCGGGGACAGCCCCCCCGGCATCGGCATCCCCTCCGCGTCGCCCGCCTCCGCGCCGTCCGTGTTCCCCAGCTCCGCGCGGGTGCACCCCAGCGCAGAGCTCATGCGCATCAGCGGCGGCGGCGGGACCTTGTCCTCAGGGGTGACCTCGCCGCCCCACACGCTCAGCTGCCGTCCAGGGAGGGGCAGCGGCAGGGGCATGGCGATCCGCAGCCCCGCGAGCTTCGTCGAGATGTCCGAGGAGGGAGCAGGGCGATGGCTCGGCCGACGCGCGCCCGCGGAGAGCGCGGTCGTGGTGGATGCGATCTTCGCTGTCCCTGCCCCGAGCTTGTCAGTCGACTTCGCGAGCTCGCGAGCACGGAGCGCACGTGCGCGCAGGCCAAGCGTGGGCGACCCGTCCGGCGAGACGCAGCCCTCCGGGCACGCGCTCAGCGTGCGCTCGAGCGGGGGCGGGACCGGGACGCCGCCCAGCTGCACGGGCAGGCTGACCACGCGGTCCTTGCCCGCTGTCTGCACTCTGCGCTGCGGGGCGGGTGCGAGGCCCAGCGTGGGGCTGTCGGGCATCGGCATCGGCAGCGGGGCGGAGGGCGCGACGGGCGGGCGCGGGGGGCCGGGCAGCTCGCGGACGGGCGGCTTGGGGCCCGCGCGCGTGGGCAGGCTGAACACGCGGTGGGTGGGCGTGCGGCGGCCGTGGGGGTGCGCGCGGACGGACCAGGGGTGCCGCCTCCCGGGGGACAGGGGCATGTGCGCGTCGCCGGGGGGGAGGGCCTGCGTGTGGTCGGGGAGCGCGAGCGGGGCCCAGACGAGCGGGAGGCGCGCGCGGAAGGAGCGGTGCGCGCGGGCGGTGGGGGGCGGGCTGGGGGGCTCGACGGCGACGTCGATGATCGTCTGGTCGCTCGCGGGGGAGAGGGGCGGCTCCGCGTCGGCGTCGGCGTCGTCGGCACCGCGGTCGACGGTGGGCAGGGGCGGGGAGTCGTCGCTGGGCAGGCCGTACTGCTGGCGGACGGCGAGGACCTGGGACCTGTACTGCGCGGGCGCGTCAGGCGGGGTGGCGGCGGGTGACGCGGGACGGACGCAGGGAGGACGTACCCAGTTGGAGAGCATGCATTGCGCGGCGGGCGCGGCCCACGTGAGGCCGTCGAGGTCGGCGGGCTCGAACCTGACGGACGCGAAGGAGCGCTCGAGGAGGAGGCGTTGCTCCTGCGGGGCGCCGGTGTAAGCGTCTCTACGTCAGCACCGGAAGGCCGCACGCACCTCGGTCATCTTGAGATCCTCGAGGTCCTCGCGGTCCTGCTCCTGCTCCTCGCGCTTGAGGGTCGCGAGCCTCTGGAGGGCGCGCGGGCCGAGGTCGCGGACGGGGGCGGACGGGTACGCCATCTGCGAGCTCCTGAGGATGGGGCGGGGTGGGTCGACGTTGCGTCCTGCGACGAGGGAAAGCATCGGGTGGAGGTGGAAAGCCATGCTGGCGGAGTGGAAGTCGCGAAGCGAAGGCCTGCCAGCAGGGAGACTGAGACGGATCGAAGGAGTGTCGGAGCTGGCGAGAGCACAGGGAGGACGCGGACTTGTGCCAGACAAGTGAAAGTGGAGGGCAGAGGCTGAAGACGGCGGCCTCAAGCAGGCGTCGCGCGGAGTAGGCGGATTGCAAACGAGGCCGACAGGCGTGACCGGTGTGAACGAGCGGCTAGGGGCAGTCCATGGCACGGAGGCTGGCGTAGGAATCGAAGTAGGGCACGTGCTGGGCGACGACAGCAGGCCACAGACCTGCGCTGGGTCGAGCGTCGTGGCGGACTGCGGACGCGGAGGCAGAGCGTGAGATCTGATCGCGATCAGCGCCACCGCGACCCAGCCACCGGCCAGGCACCGATCCACTCCCTCGGGTTCATTAGGGTTGCTCCACGTCCTCCACAGCCTGCTCGAGCGCGAGGCTCCTCTGTCCGCGAGACGTGCGAGGCGTAGAACATCGAGGCTATGACACAGGACTCCGCGTCGGTGCGTCTCCTCCGAGCTGAGTCACCCCTAACCCAAGCTCGTCCTTCGATGCTGCCGTAGTCGGTGCTCCGTGACCACGTACGACTGCTCGTGCAGGCTGCCGTTCGCACGATCGAGTTCTTGACGCCAGACGGTCCCGTAGGACGCTCCACCGCCTCAGTTCCCGGTTGCTCCCAGCCTGGGTGCTCTCTCCCACGCAATACTCGGTTCGAGCAACAGTCAAACGGCCAGCACGCTTAGCAACAGCGTGCAGAGCGCACACACCGGCCGGGCGTGTCCACTCTCGTGGGCAACACATGCCATACACGACACCGCAGCAAACTTTGCCGCGCCCGGAGTCGGTACGGCTTGCCGGTTCTGAATGGTGTCCGGTCTGTCGTCAGCAGGGGGCTCCTCCAGGCTGTCGCGGACTTGATCGATGTCATCTGAATTGAACAAGTCCCACAATGGGCTTCTGCTGTTCCAGCAAGGATGGTCAGCCGTGTTATTCCCTGGCGAACCGTAGGCTGAGCGTCATCGATATATGCGTGGTGTGTCGGGTCAGAGCGGCTGAGGTGTGCGTAGTTGCAACGAGAAGGGGAGGCTATTTCTGCAGGTTCGCTGCATCCTTATCTAACCTCCCGATCGAATGTATTGATCGTCTACAGGCGTGTTAACCTGTAGGTCCACCGAGCCGGCGATCGCGCGCTCCGTCGCTCCCCGGTAACTTGGCGCTGGTACTCTGTGACATCGCGCCACATCTCGAGCCTGATGTACAACACTACGAGCGTCCTCTAGTTCCTATGCGTCTTTCCGCGCCCCTAGAACCGCACTGCGCCCATGTGAGTCTCCGCTGGTCACACTGTGCCATGCCGTTTGTCCTCGGCTCCAATGGCCGACTATCGCGTTCCCATGAGCGTGCGACCATCAACATGCCAGTGAAGTCACATCCGCCCCGAGTTCCATCATCCTGACGCTCACCCAGAACGAATCGGTTGCAGGCCGATCCTTGGCGGCACCACAGACGCCTCGGTGCTGCGCCTGGCAGCGACGCACGCACGCACAGATATCTGTTTGCGGAACAACTCACACATCTGTATATAGATTCCGAGGCATGTATGCCGGTACTTACGTGGGTCCTATAACGTCCCAAGAGATTCTGACACGCTATAGCCTGGCTACGCTATCAGGAACCAGTAACGGCTGCGAAGAAACTCATGGCCATTTGAGGCCCGGGTGCGACGGGGACTTAGGTGTGCATATGATCCCTCTGAGCGTCGACCAGGCTATCTGTATCCAAATTTCACACGCGATCTTAGGGCGTCCGCCGCCGCCGCCAACTTGATTCTGCAGGACCACGCACAGCACGCCGCCCGATCGCACGTCCGCCGCGGTGCAAACTCTGGCGAAGGACCGCACCGGTTCGACGGATGTTGGGACGTGTTCAGCGGCGCCGTAAGGCATCTTGACCGGGACCGCTTCGCTGAGTGCTGATCGAGCGACGACGGAAAACCCAGGACGGCCCGGGGAGTGAGGAGAGGCAAGGTTACACCCTGGTCGACGCTGCCCTGCCGGCGTGCAGTGCTTCGTGCGGAGCACAGTATCGGGCTCTGAGTCCTCGATTCTCTCTGCTGGGGAGCTTGTTTCTCAGGTACGAGGGTGGGGGGATGCTACGTATACCCGTATTGATATTGATTCTGCCGCCATGCCAGTGCGTGGGGGAATCCTCACGTCACACAATACACCCGGGTGAAACGACCCGGGCAGCTCCTACGAGACCATGGAATATCGCTCGCACACGGTGTGTCATCGCGACAAGGACTAGATGGAATTCCTTCATCGGATCGTGAAGGGGACCACATTATGACCGCGTGTCCGTCTCTGGTGCACAAGACAGCCCTCGCCAGCTCGCAGGCACGGCACTCTGCGTCGAGCGGGACTTATCGGCGATCGAAAAGGCCGTCTTCGACCACTGGGAGGGGAACCCGGAAGTTCTGCCGAGTCCAACCACCAGCTTCTGTACCGCGCCGACGGTCGACTCGCGCCGCTCGACGTCTGCGCGAGCGTGGAAAGAAGCATGTACTGCTCAGGATGATGTCGACCACCGAGCACTGATCCCGGCGGCACATGTATGCTCCACACGGACGTCTTGTGGACGTCGGCCGCCTGTTCCTGTCATTCGTTGCCAACGGCAGACCGGGTGTCGTCGATCCGGTGGGTCCGACTCGGACGAAATTGCGTACACGAACATAGGTGTGTACACCTGTAGGTCCGTGGAGCCGGCGCCCGTTGTGATTGGCCATCTCCGAATTTCTGCCCGCCTGGAGCAGGCCTTGACCCTATCGTGGAACTAGATGGCCTAGCGCCTTACGATCACATCGGCCTGTGACTCATCAGGCTGCGATTATTCGCTGACCAAACCTTGCATCACCATTTCGACCAGCATTCCCATGAGCGTGCGACCGCTTGATGCCCATATACCCTTTGCCTCCTGACAGCGGCTCACCGGGAGCAGGCCGCTTGCAGTCCCTTTCATACCGACTTGGTACGTGTCTGGTCCTGGTATATGTACGGAGATCTGTTCGCTGATCTGTTCGCACACTCATTACAGATTCCGAGGACTCGCGAAGGTTTCAGAAGGGCTATAAGGTGCGTGAGCCCTCGACCGCCTCGAGAGATTCCGGCAAGATAGAGCCTAGTTTCGTTATGAAGGATGGCTGCGAAGAAGCTGATAGCAGTCTGCGGGGCGACGGGGAACCAAGGTGCGCACAGTATCCCTCTGGATATGATGAGTTTCAACTTGATCTCGCGTCACCACAGGAGGATCTGTCGCCAAGTTGTTGCTACGGAACCCGGAACAATACGTGGTCCGGGCGCTGACTAGAGACCCTACGTCGGCCCCGGCACAAGCACTAGCGACGCTGGGCGCGGACGTCGTGCGGGTGGACCTCACCGTTCCGACGGACGTCAATGAAGCGCTACAAGGATGTTGGGGCGTGTTCGGCGTCACGAACTTCTATGACCCCGTACGTCACCCTCACCCGAACCGCTACTGCATTAGTTGACGGATTGGACGTCAGAAAATCAAGGATGACCCAGAGAGTGAGGAGAGGCAGGGCAAGAACCTGGTCGATGCCGCCTTAGCTGCCGGTGTGCGGTGCTTCGTGTGGAGCACGGTACCAAGCTCCGCCATTCTCTCTGGCGGTAGGCTCGTCTCCCAGGTGTACGAGGGTGGGGGGATTCCATATGTCTTATTTGCATACATCCTTATGGCGGCGTCTCAGGGAAATACCACGTCACGCAGTACATCCAGGAGACAGGTCTTCCCGCGACCTTCCTTTACACGGGCAACTTCTACGAGAACATGGTCTATCGCTCGCACATGGTGTATCACCGCGACAAGGACCAGGTGGAGTTCCTTCAGCCCATCGTGAAGGAGACTACGGAACGCACGTACACCTTCTTTATGTGCGCGAGACGGTACTGACCAGGTCTCAGTCGCGATGCTCTACGTCGAGAAGGACCTGTCTGCTATCACGAAGGCCGTATTCGACCACTGGGGTACGGAGCATGCGGAGCTCAACCACAAGTTCCTTTACTGCGCCAACGCGCGGCTCACTCCGCTCGATATCTGCGAGAGCGTCAAGAGAGGCGCGTACTTCCCTGGATACCGCCGCCACCCAGCGCTGACACCCCAGACCTCCAGTGACGGGAAAGTCGTGCGTCTACACGGTTCTCCCGACGACGCATGTACCCGATCGCGACATCATGCTTCACCTCTACAACGAGATGGGGATGTACGGCGCGCAGGAGATCCCGGACGAGCACGTCTTGAAGTTGGGCGTGCGGCTGCATGACATCGACGACTTTGTGCGGAGCAGACTGGCGCCGCACTTGGGCTTGCCGGTTGTAGGTTAAGGGGCGTTTGTCGACGAGAACGCGCGCAGAGCGCCAATCTTGACACTGGTTGATGCGAGCGTTAACATCAATTGCGTGCGGCGCAGATTGCCAGGAGTACCAATCTTCAGTACGTATTCTCATTGGATGGGACAGTAAGAGAAGTACTACCCAAAGCAGAGACATGCAGTGGGCGTTCTGAGTCGCATGGCTCCGGTTGACGCTCGCAGGGGACAGGGGTAACTACGTCTCGGAGCCTTCCGACGTCGCAGTGTCCTTGGTGTATTCCAACCGCCTTCCGCGGCCAGCCAGACACACTTCATATCGGCCGCCGGGCTGAGCGCGCAGCCGTTCTAAAGATTCCAAACAGCCAGAGCAAGGAGAACGATGCTTGAGGTCAACAGGTGTTATAATGATTACCGCGGGCCGTTCCACAGGCCACCGTCTACATTCATGCCAGTAAGCCCATGAGCAACAAGTGTGTACGCCCTACATACCTTCAAATCCCCAGGTCATCATGTCCACATGAAGCCAGCCGGTGCCTCCGCAACGATCCCCGCCGAGTGAACTCCTGCCCACACCTCTCGCACTTGATCTTCCTTGCGACGCCGCGGGCGTGCACCTCGAAGACGTGGCGGCGTAGGTTGCATATGAGCATGCATTCCCGCGTACATCCGTTCCACAGGCAGCGTACCCGGGCATCCTCGTTGCTGACGCCGGAGGGATGCACCTCCCTGAGATGGAGAGCCAAGGCAGCCCTCGTGCGCTCGATCCGCGCCCCGCAGCCGTTCCATCGACAGTGAAAGCGTCTCGTTTCCGCTTGTTCTGGGCCGGTCAACGTTCCGGGCACGGGAGGCAGCTGCTATAGTCGAAGCTTGAGGAGCGCCTACGTGCGTCATGGACTGTGCTCCTTACCATCATATCGGCGGCACTGAGAGCCGCGCCTGAAGGTCCCGACTGGCTAATGGGTCCTCGGGAAGCTTTACCACCGTTGGTACTACGGAACGAAATCATCGAGTTCCTGTTCACGGTGGATCCGCTTTCGACCTGCAGGAACAAGCGCTCTCAATACTCGACAGGCCCATAATAAGTAGTAGAAGCTTACAGGGCCCGGGGTAGTGCTGTTGAGCTGTGAGGAGTGTGGAACCTCTAGGCTGGCATGTTGCGGACGATCGTCGCGGCAAGAATCACTACCTATGTTGAGTATGGGTGTCATATCCATCGCTGCTAGCGGCGCCGGCGAATGTGGCACCCATGATATGTAATCTGCCTGAGCCAGACTTCGGGTCAGATACGTATTCCGGCGAGATTGTGGAGACACACATACCGGCTGGCCATGGTATTGTGGGAGGTTCGACCCATTGCCAACAGAGATATCGTATTTCGGTTCCGGAAGAATACCGGTAGCTGGACACATTTGATACGGCCCGGTGAGGGCCTGCTGTGTCACGGGTAGGCCATGTATGTGGTAGGTACGTGGACTCAAACGCGAGAAGTCGACTTCGAAAGGGAAAGGGTTGGTAGGGAATCGATCACTGACAACCGATGCTTGCGTCAGATGTGTCATAGGATAAGGCGACGGCGCACTTACCTAGAACGAGAGTGATCGCTCATACCTGCAGGGAGGAACTAGCAAGTAGCAATGAAGTCTGAGGGACTGTTCGATGAGGCTCAGGCGACGGGTAACTAATGTGGTGCTTCATGACCCACCCAACCTTTATAGCCAGTGGGTGGAAGACGCCTGGAACTTGCATCAACCAACTATGCTCCTTCAGGTGCGTATCGCCAATGGCCAACTGCCGAACACGATCACAGATAGATTCAGAAATATGCCGGGCAGGCAGGAAGCGCATGGACCGTGAATTGAGCGCTCATGGATGCTCAGAACCATTTATTATTCCTACCGGGAGGTAAGGATAATACAAGGTTTGCTGATGAACGTACTGGTCGTGGGGCCAGCGTCAGGCGCTCAAGAGAGCGCGCGCGAATCTTCGCCGACGTTGTTGGGGTGCGCTGCTACATACGCGCTTGCGGTCTCTAGCGAGGCGCGCTGCACCCCAGATACAAGTTGTGAACACTTCTCCAATATCTTCCTCTATCTTGTCCCGATGCTTCTTCGTGAACGGCCGATCAAGCAGGGGGTTCTCTTGTGATGGAGACGCGCGCGATCCTAAATATCAACGAAGAGTGAATGTCGGATCGACAGGAAGATAGGCGCGTCGCTAGCAGCGTCAATGAATTCAAGACGAGCATGCGTCCGTCGGCTCACACCCTATTATCTGCGCGCGAAATTGAAGTAGAACACACTGCAGGGCGCTCGCGGAAAACGTCCGCGGGGCAAGTGACGCTGCCCCTGTGCAGGCATTTGATGATGCTTCTCCGCTGTCTGCCGTCTCGCACCACCAGAATTCCACGCTGTGGATCTCGACAAGACGCTGGAGACCTCCAGCGACCAGGCGTAGGCTTCCACGAACATAGACCATCGCAGTGCATCGCCATTGATGAGCAGAAAGATGGCAGATACGAGCGCGAACTCTATCCACATTTCGACCGCCCATGCGCGCCAGGTCAAGAAGAGAGTGATCAATCAGTGCATGTTCAATGACGGGCGTGGTAGGAATCCGTAGGATGGCGTCTTGACCTTCGGCTACCCTCACCGCCATTGTAGGCGCTTCCCGCCCGCGCGACAAGTGGCCCATGGATAGCGTTCAATCGCACAGCAGTTCCATCCAGTTGAGAATGCGTTTGGTAACCAAACCAAAGCGATTGACGTGGGTACTCAAGTACTCACCGATGACCATGCGGCTTCCGGCAGACGCCAGCGCACAGAGGCGGTGGATGGCGCGTCTCATGGGGCCTCCATTGGTAGATGGTGCACGGAGATGCATGGGGGACGGAAGGCCCCTTCGCACTATTTCCCCTCCCCCGCGTGTGCTTCATCGCGACTTTGAGGGGCCAAGTGCGTATCCGCCCGGTTTCTTAGTCGCCTGAGGCCGATTTGAGGTTAGCTGGACTTGGAGACTGCTCCCTTCTCTCCGACAAACTGATACGCTGCTGGGGGGTTCCGCTAGAGGTGTGCGACGGAGAGGAGCACACCACAGACAGTGTGCACACTGTCAACAGCCATGATAGTAATACAGGGATGAAGAGAGTCGGCTCAGCGCTTGACCGCCGGTGGTCGGCAGTTTCCTTAAACGGGCAGGCGGCGGTTGCGCGTGATCGATCGGCGGGCCCGGCTCTCTCCGTCGGCCTCCCTGCGCACTGCCCAGTATTTTATTTTATATTGCTCGCATCATAGCTCTGTCTCTCACCAGCGAACTACTAACGATCTCGTATGAAAAAACTAGCAATCATGCTCTCGTCTGCCAATAATGTACGTGCTGAAAGCCTTACAGTTGTGCCAAATTTGCCCTCTCTAACCCCAAGCACAGTTACCTACAGCTGATCCAGCGACCTGCTCGGGCGGAAGTTGAACGGGAACGCATAACTTAGTAAGCTCTTAATCGATTGACACTGTTGCCTGAGGCCTCGAGGCAATGCCGCGTCTACCACTCGTCCATTGCCATATTCCTCTGACCGGTTTGGTGCAACGCCTCATGGTGTGTGCTTCCATGCTCCTCCCTATGTCCCTGAATCTGTCAGTGAACGAGCTGATAAACGCTGTACATGTGCTGACTTTCTAGTAGGGCGCCTCAGGGACCAGCCGTTACGGCGCTCAAGCTATAGCTCAGCTTCGTTTCTGCGACGCCCGTTCCCGGGAGATCATGCGCGTGGATCTGAATACGTACGATGCGAGTATACGAGTACCACTCAGGGCACTCTTCCTTCAGATCTTTGGACGGCTATCTGCGGCAGGCGGGCGTCCTATCCCGCGCTATGTTACTCTCGGAACAATGCAACATGGACGCTGCGCACGCGTCTACCCCCGCGCCTGGCTGAGCCGCTCAAGCCATGGCCAGCTTGGACTTGAATCTCGAGCTCCAACGCTCTCGTTACCAATCGCAACGGACAAGCGAAGTCGCGGCAGAATAAAGGTAAGTAGTTTCCTAGTAAAATGTATTGAATCTCGGGCTTCTGAGAGTCTTCTTGACTGTCCTGACGAGCCTCTCGTGAACCTTTAGGAGGCACTATACAGCGCCTTCGAAGATTGGCTTCGAACGCCCACATCGACGAACGTTGCATGCGATATCCTGAATCTTTGACTCGACCAGTCCCAGTCAAGAGCGCAAGCGCAGCCCGGGCTCGCCCCCGTTATCTGGTGTTTCACGGATTGGGTGGGTTTAGCAGTCATGATACGTATGCATGGCAGCGCGCAGATTGGCGCGTCGGTCATCCGAGTCCACTGAACGCCAGCTCGTGACTCGGGAAAGCGGCAACTTGCGATGTCACGGTTCCCAGTCTGCTTTTGCCGCCATCGCGCTCAGTATGTGCGACTCTTGGCGCCCACCCGTGGCGTATCGCGGAAGTACACAGGGCGCTCTTGGTGAGCTTTTTTTTTTTTTCTTTTTTGATTCCTTTTATTGTCCGCGAGGGCCTAGCCCTATGTAGACAAGACTCTGGCTCTACGAGTAAGTACGGGTATGTTCTATAAGGATCAGGCTGAGCATGAGCTCATCGCCGAAGCGAGAGCTTGAGGTTGTAAAGTAGGAGAGTGGAGTGGAGTGGGGTGTCGAGGCAGTGACCGTAGCAGTAGTGTGTATGTACAGTAGCAGAAGACGCGGGCGCAATGAGATCGGCGGGGTTGGGTCTATATACGAGTTGAGTCTATGTATGAAGGAAGTGGACTCCCGCCCGGGAGACGACACACGTTCGATATGGCTAACAGACTGGACGAGCGGTCTGGCTCAAAGCTGGGCGCGAACGAGGTGCACGGGGCTGACTGTTGCAACCTGCCGCCCTCAGGTGCGACCCGGCATCGCAACGCTCGTCCCGGCTCCTACTGTGACCGTCGCAGGCACTGTTCGCTTTCTCTCTGGCGCATCGGTAGAGTCGGGTGTATAGTACAATGGAGCTCGGGCCTGTAGTAGGGTAATCTAGTAGGGTCATGCGGAACAAAGAGAGGGGAGGGAAGTGGGTCAGTCGGCGAGACCGAGGTCGCCATAGGTGGCCGCGAAGCGGCCTGTTGCGTGGATGTACCGGAAGAGAAGTCGAATGGCTTGGGGATGGGTGAGGAGTGTTTGGATAGAGTTCGCGGCCGGTCCGAGGGTGAAAGCGAGCTGTGCACGTTGTTCGTCGTACGACGGGCACTCCAATAAGTAGTGGTGTACCGTCTCTCGTGCGAGGTGACATGTGGGGCATGTGGGCGAGTCCGCTTTCGTGATCTTGTGGAGGTGGGCTTGTAAGGGGACATGTTCGGTGCGTAGCTGGATGAGGAGGCTGGCGTGCCTTCGAGGAAGAGAGTTCATTAGTTTGATATAGCGTTTAGAAGGGAGATCCGGGTCAATGCGATCCATCTTTGTGGAGCGCGCCGAGCGCTTCCATTCGTCTCGCGCTGCGCTGGCGAACTGCTCAGCGAGCATTTGTCTTACCTTCGAGAGGCTGGCGGGGAGGGGCTCTGATAGGCATCTCGGGAGGAGGGCAGGGGAGCTGCCCTCTCCTCGCGCCGCCTTCTTCGCCTCTTGGTCAGCGCGTTCATTGCCTGGGATGTCGCGATGGCCAGGAACCCAGCGTAGCGTGAGTTTGACGCCGGGATGGCGATGCAGTAGGGTGTCAATCTCGTGAAGGAGCATGTCGATGAGGTAATGGGCGGGGTGCGGCTTCCGGTTTTGCACAGCAAGGAGGCAAGCGGTGTTGTCGGCGGCACAGGAAGTGGCCCTCGCGCTGATCTCCTGTATGAGGAGGTGAGCCGCTAGGATTAGGCCCACGATCTCTGCTTCGTAGACTGTATGTCGAGCTGCCGAGCCGAGATGGTAGCGGAGGACTTGGGGTTCTCTAGTGTTTGGCCTGTAAAGTACTGCAGACGCACCTACTCCGTCGTCAATGTCGGACCCGTCTGTGTAGACCCGGTAGCCCGGCCTACGGGCCCAGGTTTTCTCGTTTACAGCTGCATCTTCTTTGTTGTCTGCAATGTAGACCGTAAAAGGCGGGGTCCACCCAGGAGGGACTGCATCAGGAAAAAGCTTTTCGGGCGATAGCGCTCACCCAAGCTACATTGCCATAATAGGCAGTATTGTGGCTGTAGACGCCAGCGTCTACTATCTGCTCGTCCATAGTAGTATATAGTAGTGTATAGGTAGGTTATATGGGTCGATAGTCATACCTTGGCGAATACAAGGACGAGTTCCATTGTAGTGATAATAGTTTAAGGTGTGCCGGCGTAGTGATAATAGTAATTGTAGTATCTGTATGTTTGGCGAAGAGGCTCCCAGACTTGAGCCCGAGCCAAAGCATCGCACTCGCCGGATGAGTCATCGCGCCAGCCAATGAGTCCCACACTCGATTTCATTGGATCAGATTACCAACAGAGGTGAGACGAGAAACTGCTATTATGAACCAGGCAATACACAATCGTGTTTCCCTACTACTAACACAATTCAGCTAGGTTGGCTTGTCCTGAGATCGACTGAGATGTACGAATTGACCCAGAACTCCGTCGCGACATCGAGCGCGTTGTCCTTGGTGAGATCTCTGCTAATTTTCCTACCATATTTTGGGATCAAATGGGCGGCGCGGCGGATCTTGTCGAGGCTGACAATACTGGCGTTAGGCTTGCCATTGCGAGTGGAGCGAGAGACCAAGTATAGATTGGTCTCTGGATCCTTGCGCCGCAGTGGGGTGTACCACTCGACGTACGCAAGAGGGTGCGGCAGTGATCCGAACTGCTTTGGAAGGTTGAAGATAGCGCGGACACGCGCGACTCTCGTGCCTGCAAGTCCGGCAGAATCAAATAGTTATTCTCCGGTCCATGTGCAACAATACTCACCGTTGACAGACCGTGGGTCTTGTGGTCCGAGTCCATCGATTGGGGCGTCTGCGTCGATAATGAAGGCGGTGTCAAAGTGCGCTGGCATGGGTTGCTTCCGACCTCTCCCTCGTTTGGCTGCGACTGCTCGAATACGGTCTCTATGCTCTGGTACGTCGCCGTGGGGGTCACCTGGATAGCTAACTGAGACTGCATTGAAGACATCGTATCGGTCCATGCGGTTTGGCTCCAGCTGGCACCGGGGCAGCTCAGAACGAACAAACTCCGTCAGCGCAGGCAAGAACTCGCTCGCTCCGTGCTCGCGTTGCAGGTGGTTCAGGGACCGGTTGGGAAGAGGGCAGTGCGTCGCAATCTTGTATGTGTGCACACCCTCGGTCGGATCGTCATCATCTAAGAGCATCGGTGAGTCTGTGTCGTCTTCCGGCTCGTCGTCGGACGCTGACTCGGTCTCCGTCTCCACGCTGTCTGTCTGATCGACTGTATCTTGAGCGGGCAGCGCATGAAACCACGCGATGTACGCGGTATGCAAGTCGATGGCCTCCTGGCGAGCGAGCCAGGTCACCATCTGCTCGGCGTAGTCGCGATGGTTGCTCGCACGGTAAGCGTTCTTCGCGAGTTCGATGTGCAAGCGCTCAGGCAGTTCGGTGTTGTATCCGTCGCAGGAGCCATGGGACCGGATTGCCTCAACGTAATGGAGAAGCGAGTGGATCTTCGGGATGTTGAAGTGCTCGCGGATCCCCAACTTGACGAAGACATCCTTGTGGCGATGGAAGGCATCGAGAGCCGCCTGCAGGTGAGCAAGCGACGTGTCATCGTGCGACTGAAGTTGCGCATAGTAGATAAAATCTACGAGTGCGCGCGCAACGGCGAGGACCTCGGCAGACACAGCACCAGCCAGGAGCGCAACGAAGATACGTTGCATTTCCTTGTGCTCCTTGCCGGTCCATTGCGAGACGTGCGAGATACCGTTGCGGAAGTGTCGAAGGCCTGGGAAATCCGTCATCGCGCGGAAGCGACGGTCGAGCTCGTCCTTGCCCACGATTGTCGAACACCACGAGAGTAAGTGTTCCTTGAATACTCCCTTATGAAGCTGATGAAGAATATCAGGCATAATCGACGAGAAGATGTCGCAATGGGGGAGGTCGGCCCAGAAGGGCTCGTAGACAGGTCGCAACTGCTCGGCAGTGAAGCGCAGTGAGTCTTTTCCCTTCTTGTGGTCTTTAAGTGCCTCTTTCGTCTTATTGACGTCACGTGGCTCACTGAAGAGCTGCTCGCCGCGTCGGGTAGGAGGTACGGTGCAGCGCGGGCAGCTGTTCTCCTTACAACAGCAAACCAGGCACTGTTCGGGGTAATCAGCGATGTACGCTGCCACAATCGGGTGGACCCTTCGGACGCCACGGTCTGCACACGTCATCTCCTTCCCTTCAAGACCCGCCTTGCGAAGGGACGCCAAGATGAGCGACATGCAATGATGGAAGAGTCGATACCCGGCGAGGCTGCGCGTGGAATCCTGGAAGCAGTCAAGTTTCGAGACGGGTATGTAGCCGAGAAGGAGTGTTGCGCGCTGTGAAGGCTGACGCCGTACAGATTTCGAGATGTTCCCTATGGACAAGTAGACGGGCCACGCCTTCTTATCTCCACCGAAGTTTGTGAGCTTTGTCGCGTCGGATGCGATGATCACGGGCGCCACTGTTGCGCCTTCGGGCACCTTCCCCTGTGACAATGGTGAGTCACTCTTCTCGCCAGTGCCATTGTTGTTGGCTGACATACCTGTGTCTTCCACCACCACTCGGCCGTCCACATCTCATCATACCGACGTATTGTGGCTGCGTCCTCGGTGTAGACTTTCTCCGGCGCGTAGGCGATGTTCCCATCAAACGTAGGATTTCCAATGAGTTCCTTGACACAGTCGACAGGATCGCGTCGCCAAAGCTCCAACTGCTCCTGCATGGAGCTTCCGTCATCACCGACACGATCGCCTGTTACAGTGATCGTCTCGCAGTGCCAAGCGGCTCCTGTAGGTAGGTCGTCGATTTGCTGAAAAAACTTGTACTTCGAGTCAGCTGACAAATCACAGTTCCTTCGTATCTAGGAAGACTCGGAGATCAGTCGATGTGCGGATATGAGATATAAAGGGCTTTGGTGCGTACAATCGAAAGCTTGAGGAACTCGTCGATCCTATTCTGACCAACATGTTTGATCAACCACCGAAACAGTTCCCACTCCTCCTCGTCTTTAAACGGCGCCCACTCATCGACTTTGGCCTCAGTACGCATTCGGCACCATGCCTCGAAGAGAGTGTCATCATATCGAATGATTGTTGGGACGACACCTGGGTAATCCTCAACATATCGCCGAGCCTCCTCCTCGTCCTCTGGTACGTCCTCGACCCGTGCCCGATATGGTGACTGCGCGCCATCCATAGGGTCATCGACATCGACGTGAGCATCATCAGGTTCGTGGTCGTGGTCCATAGTATCTTCTTGTGCTGATATCTCTGTGGTAGACTCGGAGGCCGAGGCGGCAACACCAGCAGCGGGAGCCTTTCCCGAAGCAATTGCCTGGGCGACTCGTGCCAGTTTGCGTTCCCATTTACGACGACAGCGCGGTGAATTTTGTATGTGATTCTTGACACCTTTCATCGTAGGTACCCCGTGTTTGCAATATCCGCAGCGAGGCATGTTTGTGAAGTAGAAGAATTCGTGGACACGAAATATCAAGCAGACGAGACAATGACAAGGTTGGACAAGGTGATGATGAAGGTCAATCCAGATGGCAGTCACGATCGAATAATTTGTCAGCAGACTAGCGAGGTGCGTTCGCGTAGCTTCTCACATTCCCACTCTGTCTCACACGCTCTGCCAGCGCACCCACACATAGAGAACTCGTCTCTTCCATCACATTCGTTTTTTCAAATCCTCATATTCATTCATTAATGCTGCGATGTCCTCCAGGAATGAAGTGAACACCCCGTCAGACGAGCCACAGAGACGTGCCCGTCGCCCGTCTGCGAAACAGCGAGAGCTAGGTACGTCGTCACGAGTACTCCTCTCCATGGAGTTTCTTGTACTTGGAGCTAACCTTAATCAAATACTAGATGAGGCCGAAGAAGCAACGCAGAGCCGCAAAGCACAGAAGCGAGCTGCCGAGACCTCCGATGGCAGAACGCCTGCGGCGAAGTCAGGCAAGAAGGCTCGGGTGTCCCATGTTGACGAGACTCCAACTGTACGGCGTTCATTTCTCGTACCTTGACTGACTCTAACTATCCTTCGATCATGTGGCAGTTCGCCACACAGACTGTCACCAGCTCGAAGCCAAAGTCGGTGCCATTCAAACATCTTACGAAACGTGTCAACAAGGTTCCACCACCCACGACTGCAAAGAATGCAAAGACTACTAACTATCAGCATTCTGAGCCTCGTCAGGCTCCTCCTCAGAACGCTGCATCGAGACGTTCTGAGCCGCGATCGGTGACTCCCGGACCTCGGAGGGACACGCCTCGGTCAGGACACAACTCAGGTAAGTCCGAATCACTTGTGTACTTAATGAAGATCCTACACGTCTTCCTATGCCAGACAACGCTCGCGCCATCACACCACAGAGCCATCATTCTCAGGTTAGCTCGCGGACGCCACAGAGCCATCACTCTCAAGCTAGCTTGGGGACGTCACAGAGCCGTCAATCCCAGGTTAGCTCGCGGTCACTGCAGTCCAGTGGTAAGTTCGTCAGCGCATGCGGCACCATTAGTATGTCATGTGTTTTACTACTGACATGTCCTCCCCGTCTTAGCACGTCCTCGCAACACCGCACGTGTTCTTGACTCAAGCGATGATGAAGGCCATGACGAAGATCACGTTCCACGCAGGTCCGCGGTCGATCCAAGTGGCGATGCTGATGCAGTCGACGATGATGCCGCTCAGCACTATCAAGATGACGGTGACGCGAACTTCGATCAGGAACTTGAATATGAAGAACCTGTTCAGTCTTCTCCACCCCGCCGTCAAAGCCACTCTCAAGAGAGATTCGCGAGTGATGACGAGTCACCGGATGCTGAACAGCAGATACCTGAAGACGCCTCAGGTTCAGATGCCGAAGGTGGCGATGGGAATGACTCGGATGCAATGGATGGTATGTCGTCGTGTCTTTGTGGTAATCTATTTGCCGATTTCATGATCTATCAACATAGCTGTACATTGTCCTGAACTCATTCACACGCCTTCTCGGCGCGGACCTCGTGCTAAGGACTACGATGAGGATGTACAGGACGTCCTCGACATCGCTAATTCATTGTTCAGATGCAGAATTTCCACTGTCAATGCTTTTCCATCCGACTCACTTCAAGACGAATGGGCACAACAGTGCTGGGGCGAAGCATGTAGGAAGCTCGACATCAAATATGCGGCGAACCGGGCCATGATAAAGATAGTAAGCCAATCGTGCAGTTCATCAATTTGTATCACTAATAGTCATACTCGAGGTCACTGCGCGTGGCTCACAGCTCCGCGGCGAGCTCAAGAATAAGGTAAAGCCGCTTGTCGAGAGTCTTTATGGCTTCGACAGTTCCTCTGCGAGGAGAGCCATGCGCAAGAATCGTGATAGAGCAACTGCTCTGACACATGAGTCGGCTTTTGCATATGAGGTGTGGAACTTACTGTTCACCTCGCTGACACGTGTGGCTATGTATTCACGAATTATCACCTTACAGGATCCAGCCCTTAACCAGCCTGAAGGCACATATGCCGAGCGGAAAGGCATATATCGCCATCCGATTATACAGAAGGCGATAAACGCGACATGGTTTGCGAACAGGGCTGACGAAGGCATCATCTTTCGGCAATTTTTTGAGCCAGCAATCTCAATTGAGACGATTGCACTCGTGCTCACAGCGGTACGTCTTGTAGTCCGCTTTCTGTGCAGCAATGACATACTTAAATGATCACTACTAGGTTCATTGCTGCATCAACGAGTGGGGACCAGGGAGGCGGACATCGGTAGACTTCACCGAGAACGACTACAAGACAGTGTACCTGTCCCACAGGGATAATCTTCGGGCTTTCGACGAGCTGGGCGATGACGCGCACCTCGTGCTGCTCAAGCTCCGCAAGAGGCTTTATGCCGAAGCTAGGTATAAACCCATCTTGTGTCCTCACTGTCTTCGCGTGTGTTTCCTCATCTTCGTGCTGCAGGTTCCACTCTGGAGCCGAAGACATTGATCGCTCCTTCAATACCCTCTCGCGCGACGCCTTGTCACATGCACTCCAGGAAGCCTTGTTGGCATCTGCTGGCGACGACAATGAAGATGCCGATGGCACATAGATTGACTCGGATCGGTTTTCCTGGTAAGCACCTCTCGCAGAATTAGTAACCTACTTGCTTACGAACTCGTCCGACTAGCCTATGGACAATCTACATACTTAGTTCCTCTGTGCTTCGTGGGATCATCTCGTGAATTGGACATTGCCCAGTATTGCACTTACTACTTCCATTAATCGTACCCTCGTCGTAACAAACATCCGCCATCACAGTTACCACATCTCACTCGCTACTATACCCATAGTAATTTGGTAATGGTGTCGTCGGAGTCATTCAATGATCTAATATAGTCGATTTAATATTCAGATCATTATGTGAGCTGCTGGCGAATGTGAGTAATCAATACAATGAGTACTATGCTCCGAGCTGTATCCTACAACAGTATATGTAAGATTACACCGGCATATGAGTCTACGATACTACGGTTTTATTGTGTACTATGCTTTCCTATATTTACTGGGATGGCTCTATGACCTGCTATGACTCGCTACAATCTCTGTAAATCTGCTATGCTCTGCTATACACAGGGGGGATTGCAATACACCTATATCAACTATGTTTGCTATATTGCCTCACCTAGGGATTGTGATTTTTCCTGATGGAGTCTGACCGCCGCGATTGTTTCGATGTCGTGCGGAAGGAGACGGTATGCCTCGAGTATTTCGTGGAGTGGACTCTTTCGGCGCTTCACCGGTGTAGACGCGCGAAGGACGTGGGCATGTAGTGGGTGCGTCGGAGGGAGTGCGCAGAGGCGGGTGGCCTCGCGCGCGATGATCCTGTCAACGAGAAGGTGAAAGGGAGGGAGGTTCAGGTGAGCTTCAAGGACATCCGTGGCCGTAGTCCGCATTGCTCCCGTGATGAGAATGCAAGCTTGTCGATGTATTCGGGCTAGTTTCCGGATCTTACCGACAGAGCCGTAGGTGCGTTTGCGACCTTCGATCTCGCGCTGGGGGGTGATCCAAATACTTGCGGCGTAGAGCATAGCGGGGAGGAGCATCTGCTTATAAAGAGTGAGCACGTTTCGTGACGCTAATCCGTTCTTGGGACGCGCTAGGCGTCCAAACTGTTGCAGCCAGACTGTGCCTTTCCGCAGAGCGTACTCGGTGTGCTGCTTAAAAGAGAGCTTGTTGTCAACATTAACTCCTAGGAACTTTACCACGTCAGTCGGTGTGACGTCTCCATCTCTTAGCTCCAGAACGGGGCCTAGGTCGCCGCCTTTGAGGCGAGGGTCTGCATGGAGGAGGGCGAGCTTGTTCAGTGCAAACCTGGAGTTGCGTGTGCGTGACCAGTTTGTTGCGCCACCTCAGCGGTCCATGTAGTTACGGAGCTTGCTTGACGTCTCGTCGAGGTCTTTGCCAACAGCTAGGACACTTACGTCGTCGATGAACCCGAGGGCCGCCACCTTTTGGGCGGCGTCGGCACATTCGAGGAGTACGAGGTTGTATATCTTGTAGAGTAGGACGGAGAGGGGGCATCCTTGATCAATGCCACTAAAGATCTCGAAGAGGTGGGAGACGAAGTCGTCGAAGCTGAGGCGGGTCTTCCGGCCGTGCAGCTTACGTCGCAGCCAATCAACTATCACCTCGGGGATCCCTAGCTTGCGCATTTCGCTGAAGAGGCGTTCCGGGATAGCACTAGGGAAGGCGGCTTCAACATCGAGGAATAGGATTGATACGACTTTCTTCGCTCGCCATGCGTCGTGGACAGTCTTGGTGAGAAGGTGTAAGGAGTCGGTCGTGGTGCGTCCTGCTCGTCCGCCAAAGTGGTGGTTAGGGAAGAGGTGTAGTCGTTCTAGCTCGTACTCGAGCGTCTCGGTGACGCAAGACAACAGAATTTTGCCCATGCAGTTCATGAGCGCGATAGGACGGTAGGACTTTGCGATGGAGTAGTCAGTGCGTCCAGGTTTGCGTAGGACTACTGTCAGTGACTCCTTCCAAGCGTCCGGGTAGTAGCGTAAGTCGAACGTCGCGCGATAGAGACGACCGAGGAAGGGGAGGAGGGTACCCGCACATCGCTTGAAGACCTCGTTCGGGATACCGTCCGGGCCAGGTGCTTTGAACTCCTTCAGCCTCTTGCATGCAGCTAGTATCTGGGCATCCGAGACATTTGCGAATTCGAAGGCGTCCTCAGGGTAGGCCTCGTGAGGGCGGCGTGCAGCCACAGGTGGTGGGGCGGGGAAGAACGTGTCATAGAAAATCTTCCCCTTCTCGTCGCTTTGCCTAGTAGTGTTGCTGGATCCTGGACGGCGCAGCGGGGGGATGCTACCCTTCCCACCATCACTGGATCCCGCTCGTACAAACTTACCAACTGTCCAGACATCACGCATGTCGGCTTCCTCGATCCACGCGTTCCAGTGATCGCGTTTGGCGTGGCGAATCTGGTCGCCATATCGGTTGCGGAGGGTGCGGTACTCTCGGTGGATCGGGTGATCTGGGAAGTCACGTAGTTTGTAAGCTTGTCTTCCCAGACGGCTCACCTCTCGACGGACACCGTCGAGTTCCTTTGAGTACCATTGTTTCGCAAACGGAGGCGGCTTGGTTATCGGCACCTCCTTGTCAATTGTTGCCTTGATCGAAGTGAGGAGTTGGCCTAGGGTGTTGTCAAACTCCTGTATGGATCGGATGTCGCCATCAGGTAACGGGACATCCTCGAGTCGTATGGCAAGGTCCTGTCGGAACGACGCCCAGTCGACCTTCCGAAAGTTTCGAAAGGTGCGTGATTTCGCTCGGGGGACGTCAGCCTGGAGCTCTGTGACTACAGGATAGTGGTCAGTATTCGGTGGGCGGAGTTCCGGGGCAGTTCGGCAGCGTATTAGGCGGTCAACGAGGTCACGAGACGCAAAAACGTTGTCTGGGCGTGTATGGTTCTTGGAATTTGACGCCTCAAGGGTGGGGATGCCGGCTGGGAGGAGCATGGAGAAGTCGAATGCGGTGAGCAGGTCGAGGAGAGGTTGAGCCTGGTCCAGGTACGAGTTCGTAAACAGGTGGGTGTTGCGTTCATCGTCCCAGAGGGGGTGGTGTCGATTAAAGTCGCCTAGCCAAATGATTAGAGGGTCGTCGAGTTCATCGCGTGAGGCGCCTATGTTGCGCGTCGCACGCGCCAGCGTGCGTAGCACGTTCTGCGAGTCCTGTGGGTTATAGATGTTAAATAGATGTATGGTTCCAGTATCGTAGTGAAGTGAGACAGCGGTGATGTCGGGGCAGTCGATCGGCATGGCCGACCAGCTATTAGTGGCGATGCGGGTATTGACTAGGTCACGGAGCGGGTGCGGGTGGGGGAGACCTTGTGCTTCGGGGGGTAGATTACGCGCCATTGCTGTGCAGCGCGGGTGTTCTTCAAGAAGTCGATATGTGGCTCTTGCAGGAGCACGAGGTCGTAGTCGGATATGCTATGGAGGAGGGCTGATTGGCTGGTGTTAGATTTGTTGACGTTGAGCTGGCAGATTCGGAGTACGTCGGGATCTCTAGTCATGGCGGGAGGCGTCAGCGTGGCTCTCGGATGATCGGCGAGTTCGCGATTGCGAGAAGCCGCCTTCGCCGGTTAGCGTGGTCTGTCTCCGGCCTGGCTGGTCGCGGAAGCTACGTGCGAGCGAGCGTGCACGTTCGATTTCTGCTAGGGTCGCGTCAGTCCCTCTTGGTACCCGAGACGTAAGGCTGGGCGGTCGAGGAGGGGGAGCTCGGTCATCGATCTCTCCGTCCTCGCGGTTGATGGGGCGACCGCGCATTGGGGCCGGTGACGGCGCTCTCGACGGGGGCTTGCTATGGTAGTGCGATCGGGGTGGGAGGGGCAGCGATGGGGGAGGGTCGGTATGGTCCCAAGTCGTGGGGTCGTCCATTAGGGGGAGAACCGGTATTGCATGAGTTTGTTAGCACCCTGGATCTTCCTCGTTGCCTCGATGAATACGGGGCACATCCGGCTCCATGCCGCATGGCCGACGACGTTACAGTTGACACATTTGTGTAGTGCCTCGTCCTTCTTGCAGTCGCTGGTCTTGTGGTCCTCGCCGCATGAGCCGCAAATCGGGATGATGATGTCGCAGTCCCTTGCGAGATGCCCCGGTTCCATAGCTGGCAGTTCAGGCAGCGGCGCGCTTCCTTGACCAGACGCTTCGCCTGGAGTCTGCGTCCCAGCAGGGACACCCCGTTGAGGATGGCGTCGTTCGCTCGTTGGGGCGAGCTGAACTTCATAATCAGGTACGCACTCTTCTGTCCGTCGCGGCGTTTGTCCTCCGGCTTTATCCAGTGGGCAGCCGTCAGGTCGTGCCTGTCCCATCCGTTCGCATGTTCAAGGTCACGCAAGGCGTCATCATCGCCAGGGCGGAAGTACGTCGGTACACCGCGTAGCAGGCACGCATAGTGGCGTGCGCGGATGGCAGACTCGAGACCGAAGCGGTCGGTAAACCGTTTCTTGTTGTCCTGGTGCTGCAGCCAGGTCGCGCCCTCCTTGGTGTTAACCTCGTATAGTAGGCCCCCTTCACGGAGGCGTCGCACAGTCAGGAAGGCCATGCCTTTCGGCGGCGCGAAGCCGTCTGTTTGCATCAAGTCCAGGGTCAGCTTCGCTTTCTCGACATACTCACGTTCTGTTAGGTTGGTTGCAGGGTCATTCCTGTCGGTCTTCTTGATGTCGATGAGGACCTGGCGGATCTGCAAGTCCTGGCGGGCCACCGAGGACGCGTGCGAGGTGGGAAGGATGTGCGTGACAGTGGCAGCGTACGTGGTCTTGTTCCTGCTGCTTGCACCCTGTGTAGGAGCAGCTGCCGCGGGCGCAGGTGGGTCCGGTCGGCGGCCCTCTGTTTCATCTCTTCGAGCATCTCTGCCAGGTTAGCCTTGAGGAGCTTGACCTCCTCAAGTTCACGCGCAAGTTTGGTCTGTCCTTGTGAAAGGTTACGTACCTCTTCCACTAGTCGACCCAAGCCCCCTTCCGCCTCTTTCTGCATGCGCTCGTGTTTCTCCATTATCTCCACCATCTGCTCTTGCTGGTCGTCGCGGAAGACATAGACCGATTTTATGCGTTCCCAGATCTTCTCTGCCAGAGCCGACTCTTGTATTTCGGTTGCGTATACTGAGAAGGCGCATAGCGCGTTGACTGTCGCCGCGCTCATCTTCTTGTCGCTGACGGCGAGATGGAGTAGGCCTGTCGACAGCGCGGCCATGTTGGGGACCATCTCGCTTTCAGGGATTAGTTGCAACCTCCGTAGGGCATTCTCAGCCGCTCTCGGAGTGTCTAGGCTCTTCAGAGTCTCTTCCATTTCCTTCGTTGCATTGACCTTCTTCGCTGTCTGTGACGACTTCGTCGTCGGCGCCTGGGCGCTAGCGTTCGACTGTCGAGTTGCAGGTTTGCGCGGTGCCTCCGCCATCGCTCAGGGTTCAAGTATATTATTCGGAGAGTTATATAGTCTAGGACAAGCTTTTTAGAGCTCGTTTGTTGCCTCCGCACGACCGTTAGGCCTCCCCCTGTTGAGGTACGGACCGTGGGAAAGTTGCCGAGAGTGACGGTTAGAAGCAAGAAGGGGTCCCCTCTTGGTGAGCTACAATCCTCACGCGGGACTTAAGTAGCGAAGCGAAGCGAGCCAAAATGACTTACCAGGCGCCGACACCCTATCGGAGACACGGCGGACGGTCGTCCGCCGGGACATGGAGTCAGATTCTTCTTCAATCTCGCTCAACACAGACTCGTGCCTCTGATCGAGGCTCAAGATGACTCTGGTGCGTACTCAGTACTGATGACAACGTGGAAGTATAACGAGTTCTATCACGGCGCGATCCGCAGGAGCTGTCGGACACCTCCCAGCCTACCCTCCGTGGACTTCCGACGCACATCTGGTCCCGAATCGAACTCCCTGGGGGTGGGTCCGTGGATGGTCAAGGACGACTCGGACGTGCTACCTTCGATCTTGTATTTCAACCTTTACTTTCCCGGGCAAGGTCCACGCCCCAATTTCCCCTTCGAGGCTGCACTGTCTACATGTATGCACTCATCAGTATGGACGGCGTATGAGAAGCCACCGGTCGAGTGTGGGGACGACCAGCTCGTTCGAAACAAGAACAAGAGGGGGGATTTCCGCCACGTTATGGAACTCGCTGAAACAATATGACACGAAGTCACCTCTCAGGAGTCTGCTCCACGTGCGTTGCAAGCTAACGCAAGTCAATATGAAGCCTGGGAACAGACATCTTCAGGCATATAGCCAACTTGCAGGCGAGAACTATCAAGTCCGACCACGTCCGCAGCCTCGAACAGGACGCGCGCGACAGACTGCTCGACGACGATGTGGGGTTGCTATCAGTACGCGCATCGCGGTGAGCCCATATTTCAAGTTACACACCTACACCTTGACGAATGACCCGTATGCACCCCCCGTGATCCCCGTGCCGCCCTACTTCCGTGGAACAGGTTGGAGAAGACCGTGGTCTGACAGTGGCTGTCAGCGAGAGGGCGGACAGGACTCGTGTGAGACGCTAGGACGCGAAACAGTTGTCTCGTGTTTACAACTTGCAGTGAGGGTGAGGGTGAGGCTGGTGAGCACGGAGAAGGTTGAGGATGCGAACAGGCCTAGGCCGGAAGGCCGAGATCGGAGAAAGCAAGCGAGATGAAATTTGGCGTCGGCCGGGTGGACCAGCTGTGGACAATGGACATCGCTTTCACGACGTGCAGATTGAAGACTCGGCAAACTTGAATTCCTTGGGAAGACTGCTACACACATATCCGGAAGGAATGGCCCGGGGACGGCGCGGCGGATCCTGTCGAGAACACTGCCATGTATGGGGCTGCTGTGAGGGCCGGACAGGTAGTCGCTAATGATTGGTGAGCGCCGCCATGGGGCTCTGGAACGGGGCCTAATCGAGGCCTTCCGAGAGGCGTATAAGGGGAAGCTGGATCGCGACTCGTCTGCACTCCTCCGCCCGGTAGATTACGTAAGCCAGCATGCGGCTCGCACGTTCACTGTGTACCTGGATGTTCCTCTCTCTCTCACGTCCTCCGCCCATGGCTGGCTTCGCCACCCCGGGCTTGTACATAGAGGTGCGCTTTCTCTTTTCCGTCTCTCGCTGACGTCTCTGGTCAGCCATCTCCCGTTGGGGACGCGTTGTCGACCTCCACCGCAATCACCGGGCTTGCCCACTGACTGCGTCCCCACTCCTCGCGCCTATTCCGTCCGATCGTCGACGTTCCTCATTCGGAGACGGTGATCGCCCCTCTCTGTACGCGCGCGAGGTTCGCTGCTCGACGGGCACCTCGGTGGACCCCTCGTGAGCCATGAGGCCTCACAAGGAGGCACCCTGTTCAATAAACCTTCCACAGGCTTGCCTGTTGTACATGTCCAATACGACGGCGTAGGCCAGGCCATCCATTGGCACTTCGACATCGCGTGTACTTACATTCGCGGACGGCCTTCCGTTCTTATCAGGTCATTCACAAGGTCCTACGAGACACTACTTAGCATCGGGACATCGGGGGCAGGCCCAGATGCAGCACCAGGTGGTACTTGGGCGGTACGGGTGGGTGAACGGGACTCAGAAGTTCAATGGCACCATCAGCGATGATGATTCGATTTCTCGTATACCATCCATAAGTACGTATCATGCATTCGGCAAGTAAATACTCAACTGTGAGGACCGTCAAATCCGACCGTATTACAGCATCGAACTGGACGCATATGAAGTCTCGCCGTGAGAGCACAATAATAGATCTAGCTGCGTATTCGCAGACCTAGGTCTCGGTCTCCACCGACCATCAAACACATGCCAGAGTTTACTTCCTTTTGGGCGAAGACTGAATACACCCTAAATGATTCACATAGAAGATTGACACCCGCACGCAACCCGCACGCGCTTCATTCCGAATACCTCCGAGTCATAGCTCTCTATCTGCCTCCACTCCCGCTTCGATATAGCGAGCATACGAACGGGTTGCAACTCTCACGGGGCAGATGAGGAGGACTTTTCTGGGCTGCTCGGATACTGAAACAGACGACTCACAGCGAAGAGCCTCGGACGTGGATAGTACCAGTTCGCGACCTATCCTCCGCAGATTCCCTCGGAAAGACCGCCGGTACCACAGGCAGCTTCGGTATCCACGGAATTAAGTATGACAGTCAGCAAGACAACAACGCAGCATATACTCCAAGGCAAGTCGGAATTCCAAGACGAGCGAACAAACCGACACCCACGCGGCGGATCTCCTCGAGAAGACCACCATATATGGGGCTACGAGGGCCGAACAGGTAGTCGCTGTAACGAGTTGATGAGCGCTACGGGTCATACGTGGGAGGACGGTCGGAGACGCGCAGCCAAATGAACCCTCCCCAAGCTAGCGCAGGCCTCCAACCCACATATGTCGTGGCAGAAGGGTCCGTTGCATCGCGAGGCGGATGCCAGTGATCACGAACGCGAAAACATCCACCTCACTGATGGTAGATCTGGCCTCTCTACTGCATCGCCCGCGATCTATAAGACATGGCTGCCCTCTGTTGTGCCGAATCGTCACCCCCCACATCATACCACACTGCTAGGGGCGGGCTGCACCACAGGCATAACGTCGCGTCAGAACCCTGTCTTCCGCTTTATTGCTGCTGCGCACCAGTATGCCGTTGCACGAGTACAGGTCCGTCTAAATCTCGTGTTGCGTGCCGAGAGGGGACTCACTTGGACCTTAGCGAACGCTTCCGCACGGCTTTTGAGGAGGAATCAGACTTCACGGTCCTTGGTGTGAACTCCGGCCTTGTTTACGACACCTTCGAGCAGTCACTCTCGCCAGCGACCCCCTTCACGGTTCCGCAGGCTACATACGTACAGGCGCTCTGGCACACGGATGCACCCTATGCCTCGTATCCCTCCGCGCTGGACGATAGACGTACACGTGAAGCTTACCACACCGTGAGCATATAGCCCTCCCAGTTTTAAGCTGTGTCTGGTGTCATTGACGGCTGGATTTCTAGAGCGGGTTCGACGTATTTGTAAGTACAATCTGACGACTGCGTAAGACGCATAAAGGACGTGATTTCACCAGGATGGACAAATTCCACTCACCGCGGGCGTCATGGATCCATGCGGAGTCGATCCCTCGCAAATGTTGAACAACGCTGAAGGTGATCGCGATCTGACCGATCAATCAGCAGTGACAGCGCGTCCAAGCGACGTGACCTATCAATCTCATCCGGTGAGACCCATATCTGCTGATCCATAAATGCGTACCTTGTCCTGACGGGAAGCATCACCCATTATAGTCCGCGTCGCCAGCGTCGCTCCAGATGCACATAACCTGTCGCTGGGATGGCTGCGACGCCCAAGTCCAGCGCACCAAGGCTGCGGTTAGGACTCATCTTCAAAATTCGCACTTCAAGAAAGCGCAGTCCTCCTCCGCGAAGAAGCGCGGAGTCGCGATCCGCTGCAGGTGGGACGGATGCACACTCGAGCGGATGCATGCGACCAACGTCTGGAGGCATGTCTACGAGAAACACGCCCACGTTACCGAGAAGGTGCAGTGCAAGCTGTGCATGGCGGAGTTTACGCGGGTGGGGTCGCTGCGCAGGCATCGCGAGTGCTGTCCCGGTCCAACAGCGTGAATACGAATGTGAGTGGACAGTTCGGCGACGCGACAACATCAGAGAACTCACGTACTCATCGCGCCAGAAACTGAGTGGCTCATTAGTTTGGTCCCATTACGTGGACGAATGACTCGCTGAGTCATGATCGCTTTGTCGGCGTTGTCGGCGAGTCTGTGACTTCTGTATCGCTGGATATATCACGGAAATTCAATTTGCATGCGTTATTGCTCGTGCGTGGCGCAACGATGCTCACCTCCCATTCCCTCCGCGAGAGCCAAGTCCAAGAATCCTCAGATGCTGTCCTAATCCACAGCGGTCCGCCATGCAGCAACAGCGCGTTTGCGGGCGGAAAGGGGCGGAAAAGATTGTCCAGATCGAGCTGTCTGTCCCCACACTCGACTGTCGCTCTGTTCGTACGCCGCTCGTACTGATGAGCGCAAACATATACACGGGGCAGCCTCGAAGGGGGAAATAGGCCGTGGACCTTGTCCGAGCAAGTAAAAGATTGACATTGTCACCAGAGGCAGCACGTCGTCCTTGGCGACCCCCACCTACGGGAGGGCGGGTCAAGAATAAATGAGTGACGGGAGCCGACGGGAGGCAAGCTGAGAGGTGTTGGACCATGGTGAAACTCGTTATGCTTTCACGTTATCATTGATAATGAGTGCACACCTGCGTCACATCCTGAGCCTCGAATCAGGGTGCGAGTGTGGATTGGGCGCGAGTGCGGATTGGGCCGGAGTGCGGATTGGGCGCGAGTGCTCAATATCATGACTCCATCCGGCGGATGTCCGTCCGCCGTATCACTGCATTGAGGCGGCATCACCGAACATAGATGCAGGTTCCAAGAGAGCTCACTTACGAGGCAGCAGGAAAGCTCTGACTCGGAGCAAGAGCTACGATGTAGCTTTGAGCGCGAAGGCTGTGTCCTGGGGGTTTCTAGAAATACAGGTGACCAGCTTGTCAATGTCAGAGTCAGCCAATTGTGCGAAGAACAAGAACGAAGTGAATTCGGCAAACTACGCTTATTACAGCGAAGAACGCTCGAATGCACGGCGGGTGTCACGTGGGGTCGCCACAAGGAGTGACACTTGTGTGACTTGTGACACTGATGCGTCCGACTTCTGGTCCCCAAGCCTGGCCGCTCCACGCCTACTTGCCGTTTGTACTTATGTCTGGCTACCGCTATATACACCCTCTGCGATAGGTTCCCTACTCCATCAGGAGATCTAATGGAATGACTCGTAGACATCCAACAGATTAGTACACCGGCTGACCGTCTAAGCACCGAGAGTCGAGACAAGCCTGAATCAGAGTCCTCACGTCGGTGAGTCTCCTCAGCCTTGAAATCAGTCCCAAGCTCGTCTCTCGCTGATGCATTCAGTGCTCTATAACCGGCCAGATGCGAGTATTCGTGACCATCATCTGTCGTCCGCGACTTTGCGGCCCTGCGGCCTACCCCTCGGCCGCGGTTGCCAATAAGCCGGTATCGCGGAGTTGATCAATGCGATCTGAGATATACCCCCGCACAAGTACGTTCTACTATGCCACCAATTCATTTGTCGCAGATAGTAAAGTGCCATTGGTGGAGGGATGGGGCGTCGAGTCGGAGCGGCGGAAGTGCGGATGCTTGCGGACTCGGAGAGATGATGCGGAGGCAATTTCTTCAGGTTCGTCGTCCCTTTCTTGACCTGTGGCATGAATTGACTTAGTAATCGCGCACACGTACATATAGGTGTGTAAACTTGTAGGTCCGTGGGGCCGGCGTTGATAGCTGTCATCAGTCATTTCCGTATTTCTATTCGCTCGGAGCAGGCCCTTGCCCTATCTTGAACTATGCCTCGACTCGGACCTCGTTGTGGACGGAACACCCTGTTCTCAACTCCTGATATTTGAATTGACACGCGTTGCTCAAAATGCCTGGCGTCAGACATGTGAGTTGTGTAGGGCTTGATACGAGACACGAGCATCCTCTATTACGGACCGTAACGTCGTCCCACGCTCTGCCTCGCGAGCGATAACACCGGACTGTATCCACATTGCGATTCTTTGCTGATCAGACTCTACAATGCCATTGGTCCATTGGCTCTGCTAACCGACCAGCATTCCCATGGGCGTGCGACCACAGAACATACACTCACTTTGCCTCCTAACAGCGGCTCACCTGGAGCAAGTCGCTTGCAGTCTTTTACATACCCAGTCGGTGACGTGGCTGGTACTGGTGCGTATACGGAGATCTGTTCGGGAATCAGCTTACACATGCAAATGAAAGATTCCGAGTCGCGAAGGGCTCTGAAGAGCTATAAGGTACCTCGACCGTCTCAAGAGATCCCGGCAAGATGTAGCCTGGCTTTGCTATCAAGGATGACTGCGAAGAAGCTCATAGTCGTTTGCGGGACGACGGGGAACCAAGGTGTGCACTGGCATAGTATCTCCTCCGAACATGATGATTCTAATCTTGGTCACTGACAATTCCAGGAGGATTTGGAGTCGCCAAGCTGTTGCTCCGGTACCCGGATTAGTACGTGGTCCGGGCGCTGACTGGATACCCCACGTCCGCTCCGGCACAAGCACTGGCGGACGTCGTGCGTGTGGACCTCACCGTTCCGACGGACGTCCATGAGGCGCTACAAGGATGCTGGGGCGTGTTCGGCGTCACGAACTTCTATGACCCCGTACGTCACCCTCACCCGAACCGCTACTGCATTAGTTGACGGATTGGACGTCAGAAAATCAAGGATGACCCAGAGAGCGAGGAGAGGCAGGGCAAGAACCTGGTCGATGCCGCCTTAGCTGCCGGTGTGCGGTGCTTCGTGTGGAGCACGGTACCAAGCTCCGCCATTCTCTCTGGCGGTAGGCTCGTCTCCCAGGTGTACGAAGGTGGGGGGATTCCATATGTCTTATTTGCATACATCCTTATGGCGGCGTCTCAGGGAAATACCACGTCACGCAGTACATCCAGGAGACAGGTCTTCCCGCGACCTTCCTTTACACGGGCAACTTCTACGAGAACATGGTCTATCGCTCGCACATGGTGTATCACCGCGACAAGGACCAGGTGGAGTTCCTTCAGCCCATCGTGAAGGATACTACGTAGCGTACGCATGCCGTCTTTCGGCGGCGAGACGGTACTGACCAGGTCTCAGTCGCGATGCTCTACGTCGAGAAGAACCTGTCTGCCATCACGAAGGCCGTACTCGACCACTGGGGGGACGAGCCATGCGGAGCTGAACCACAAGTTCCTTTACTGTGCCAGCGGGCGGCTCTCCGCTCTATAATTGCGATAGCGTCACGGGAGGTGCGTATCTCCCTAGCTACCGTCGCCCACCCCGCGCTAACACCCCAGACCCTCGATCACGGGAACGCCGTGCGCCTGCACGATTCTCATGACGACGCATGTACCTGACCGCGACATCATGCTGCATCTCTACAACGAGATGGGGATGTACGGCACGAAGGAGATCCCGGACGAGAACGTCTTGAAGTTGGGCGTGCGGCTGCATGACATCGACAACTTTGTGCGGAGCAGGCTGACGCTTCACTTGGGCTTGTCAGTCGTGGTCTGACGCTAAGGTTGTACCTCTTGAAGCTGTGCTAGGGCTTTCACGGCTGTCATGGCCGTATCTCTCGTGTAGGGCATCGATTGTGTAGTTCTAAGTGTAGGTGTAGTTTCAACGGAAGTATTATCACCGGACGACGTACAAGATAGCCGGCGAAACAGACTAGGAACGCATCGACGATGATAGTCCGGGTCATAACACTTCGATTACTAGTATTGTTATATTGGGCACTTGTATCCTTTGTGTGATGATACATGACTCGTCACGATGTACGTGAGGTGTGAAGGAAGTGAACTGAGGCAGGGAACAAAATCAGTGGTGGTACATGCTAAGTACTATCATTACAGTCATGGCGCAGAGTAACTCGTAGCAAGGGCTGTACCAACGTCCTTGGCATCTCACGCGACCGGTACTGGTCAAACAAATCAGTCTCTGACTCTCTGGGCCGAGGTAAACCTAACATTGACTCACCACCTACGATCGATGCAGCGTCTGCATGGAATTTCGAACGATGCTTTCGCAGCGATTCCATGCGCGTAAAGCTCTTCTCGCAGACCGGGCAATTGACCTTGATCAAGGCGGGAACGTGGACTTCATGGATGTGTCGGCGGAGATTGGACAAGACTAAGGACTGTCGTCGACAACCATGCCACAGACAGGGGCCCGTCGCGCCATGCACATTTGCATGGACTTGGGAGTGTTCCGCCTCGAAGTGCGCATTGAATGCGGTCTTCATCCGTTTTAATTTTGCACGGCAGCCGTCCCATTTACAGTCCAAAGTAGTCGATTCGAACTGGCCTGGTAGTTCCTCCAATGCCAGCTGTAAATTTGTAACACACTTCAGTATTGGCATGGTTGTACGAACACGGCGATTGAAGCTCACAGCGGGCGTTGTGCTACTCGTACCTGACCCTGGGATACTGGGCAACAGGTCAGCTCCGTCTTGTGGTGTATATCTTCCAGCAATGCGGTTCAGAGTGATTTGCTCGGAGACCGTCAACTGTCCGTGTAAAGCAAGTAAGCACCGGTAATTATGACAACTCTGTCACTACATCACATTGAATGAGCACTTACGAGACTCAACGGCTGAGAGCTGACGGTGTTACGAGACTGCACTGCTTCTCCCGAAGCCATGTACTCGGGCTGCGGCTGGGCATTGAGTCCACCACTAGTGAGTGTAGACTGGGAGTCATGAGCCGTTGCTGGCAGCATTGGAAGTAACTGCCAGTGTGACTGTGCACGAGGAGTCAGTTATGCAATGAAATATGCAGGCGATTGTGCAGCAGTTGTACAGGCTACATACTGACATGGTAGGGCGCAAAATGTGATATTCCCGGATTGAATGAATATTCAAGCGGTAGTTGTAGCTCTTGGCATAGGCTTCCTGTAGCCAGGCCCAACATAGTATCTGACATCATCTCCGAGTCGTTAAGAGGCCCCAAAGTCTCGAGCAACTGCTGCGTCGTGTTGCCGTAATCATCGAGGCCAACGTAGTACGGGTAGTGGAATCCTGATAGAGAGACAGAGGGCGGCGGCCATTGCTCACTGAAGCAAAGTTCGGAAGATGTGAAAACGGATTGTGTCACGAACTCAAGCTAGGCTAGTACAAGACGTACCAGAGTTCAAAACTGTCTTCCATAGATATAGTAGCGCTTGCCTTGCAGGATACGCTGTAGGGGTGTAGTGAGGGCCTCTCATGTCTGCTGGCATTGTCTTATACTAGTGTGAGTTACTAGTTATGCAGCGCGGCCCTGCTTTGCAAGGAGGAGCGCGCGGTAGTAGGTACTTATATCCCCAACGTGAGGTGCTACGTCATCACACGTGGGCCTGCCATAAGAAGCTGTGACCCCACAGCCGCTACCTGAGAGGCTGTGACCCCATATGTAATTAAGTATCTCGGTGGTGTGAGATGGAATGATGTAGTACGGTCCAGGTGCGGTGTCCGACCACAGCCGCCAGCCTAGTGATCCACCTGGATTGATTGGCTGCAGCCCGTCGTTATGTGCCGTCTAATTTGAAGAACTTCGTGTCGCTAAGCTTGAAGGACGATACTTCGGGGAAGGTGCGTTCATTTTCCAATCACATCACATTCTAATCAACGTTACTTCCTGTGAGGTAGCCGGATTCGGCGACTCAAACGACGTTGCAGGCGCCGAGTATGAGCGGACGGCGTCGAAGTCGGTACACTGGCAGACGAGAGGCTTGTCATTAGTCGGATGGGTAGTACCCGGTAGTGTCACTGTCTCCTGGTTGGCTGGTTTCCACCCTTCCGCGCGTCTGCAGAGACACAGGATTGTTTTAGCAAGCACTGCATTTGGCACTCAGTACATGACTCAGACCTCCCCATTCGTTCCCTTTGTGGGGCTCAACTCCTTTCCAATTCCATCCGAGCACGCTGCCAGAGAAGTGTCTTGGACAGAGGCTGTACCTAGCATGGCCTCCGGGACTTCAAGCTTCCAGCTTCTCAAGAAATTCCATGCGGCAGCGCATTCCTGTGCCCCACAGCATGACCCCCGTTGGAATGTGAGAATGCCAAAGTACGTTCGTGTCTCATATGGCTGCCTGGAGTGCTGACTGGATGCGAAGACACCTAGCTATACAACTATCCATTTGGCTGTGCATAACGTACGAGGAAACAGCGGGTTACGTGAGGTCTTATCTATCGCACCGGCGCCGTTTCGCGCCCATTTATCAACTGTCTAGACCGCCTGGTTGGACGAATGGTCCGTGCCACGCCAGAGAGGTCGGGTGCTGTGGGACAGGCAAACGGCTTCTTATCGCCTTCCTATGGACGGTGACATTCTGAACCTACCCCGCAGAAATGCAGAGCATGGCCTGCGGTTCCGCATGAACATCCGTCCTGATACAGGTGGAACACAGCGGTCCTAGGAGGAAGACGCAGAATCCAGGCTCATCCTCCCAACATTCCTTCCGAGAATACGCCGCCGCATAGTAGCCGCCTTCCGTCAAGGTCCCATAGCACCGTCGGGAGCAGATAAGGACGCTGCTCTTGTACTCACGCGGCTTCAAGGTGGTACGGAGTACATCGGCACCAGCCAATCAAACGCCGTACATGTTACTCGCGTTCTCCCTCGCTACGCGCATCACCCTCTCCGCATCCCACGTCTCTGCGCTCCCCGCCTCCACCTCCACCCCCGTCTTCATCTCGTTTGCGACTCCGGTGACGAACTCTGCAGTCCACGGGATCATCGCGCTGTGGCTCAACGGCAGACGGCCCTTCACGCCCTTGAGCGCGGTGTCGTATAAGTTTGACGGTACCATGAAAGGCGCGTCTGTCTCGAGGAGAATGCGCAGAGAAGACGATGGCGAGGAGGTAAGATGGCGGATGACGTTGGCGGTGTTGAGGTTCGAAGAGTAAGTGATGACGCCTACGGGTGTGCATTGTGATACGCCTTGTAAGTAGGTAGATGGAATGGGAGGAACGAGACATACCTGTGATGCCGATGTATAGATTGGGGAAGTGCTCCAGCATTCGCGCAGCCCACTCCGGCGAGTCCGTACAGCAGTGTATATGGATCTATCCACATGGAAACGTCAACTGATAGCGCGTACTTGACGGATTTATCACACGCACCTTATGGTCCTTCGGCACCTCTTCCTTCATTATCCTCTCCGTGTCCTCCTCCGCCTCGCGCGTGTGGATGGTGAGCGGCTTACCGAGACGTACAGCATGCCGGAGCTGGCGGGTGAAGACTTGCTGCTGGAGTTCACGGGGAGAGTTATCGTAATGGTAATCTAGGCCTATTTCGCCCCAGCCGACGCAGCGTGGATGGGCCATCGCTTCTAGGCTGCAGAAGCGTCGTGATAAGTAGAAGTGAGAAGCGCAGAACACAACAAGCGTACATATCATTCTCTACTTCATCCGAGTAGAGCTTCGCTTCGTGTCTGGAGGATGCATAATGAGTCTATATGCGCCGGTGTAGCCGCAGTCGACACGTACGGATGGACACCTAGTTGCCACGATCAGCGATGCATATCGAGAGCTAGCCGGCGGATACTCACAGCCCCGCACGGGAGCACCGCAACGAGTGCCGGGCGATAGGCACGGAACTGATACGCACCCATAACGAACCAATACTCCATACCCGCCCACTGGCTCTTCCTCCCTTCCTCCGTCAGCGCAGAGTCCGCGAGCTCCCTCCACGCCTGCTTCAGCACCGGCGCCTCGCACCATACGTCCACAATCGCCTCCACGCCTCGCCCGTCATACATCCCCCGCACGAAGTCGAAGGAGCCTACTGAGTAAGATTTAACGTTCCGAATGTTAAAACCGGAGTGAGATTTGCCCGTCTCGAACGTTGCGGCCGGCGCCGGCCGGAGGGGTCCGGGTCCACGTTGCAGACGTTGTCGTTGCCAGCGATCCGGCCGGAGTGCATGCCGGCCGGCTCTGCCTCGTCTCCAACGTTGCGGCCGGCCTTGCCATCCCTGAATACTGTCCCCAACGATCCACCCGGCCTGTTTTCATGGTACGTTGCAACGCTCCGGCCGGAGTGCATGCCAGCCCCGACCCCCCTCCTCAATTTTGCGGCCGGCCTGTTTTCACCGGACGTTGCAACGCTCCGGCCGGACTACACCCAGGCCGCCCCCCCCACTTCTGAACGATCCACCCGGCCTCTTTCACCCAACGTTGCAATGCTCCGGCCGGAGGGTATGCCGGCCGGTCATCCCTCGTTCCCAACGTTGCGGCCGGAGCAGGCAGAATTCAAAGTGGCCAGGCAGTCCACGCTGCAAACAGTCCAGCCGGTCAACAGATATAGCATTGCAAACGAGCTGGCCGGCCTCAGGCCCCACCACTACAAATGGTCCGGCCGGACTTTTTGCCGGCCGAAAACACAATGTCTCGGGCCGAGGGTACAGCCAAAACTCGGCCAAAGCAGCCAGACATTTCCGGGCCGAGCTTTTGCTTCACCGACCGGGCAAGCATTGTCTCGGGCCGAAAAGTTGACAATTTTCTCGGGCCGAAGATTTGAGTACTGCCTCGGGCCGAAGAGTTGGGCATTTTCTCGGGCCGAAGATTTGGCCGAAGCTCGGTGAAAACAGCCGGGCTGTCGGATTGCCATATAAGGAAATTTGGTATTGACTGGTAGTACTTCATTGATAGACTATAGTATCAATTCCCTAGTGACCAAAGATGTCTAGTTAGGCCAGGATGTGCAAAACAAGATTTACTCACAGGCTTCTTTGCACAACAAGCTAATCAATTTCTGAAGCCAGTTTTCTTTTCCCACACTGTTTGACTATCTAGGATGTGTTGTTTCAATGCATAGAGTATATCCCCAACAGGAATAGTCTTATTCTTTGAAGCTGAATACAGGACAACAGATAAGGGGCATACAGATATGGTACCGTGCTGAACAATGTTGACTCCTGCAGCCAATGTACATTCAAAACAATGTTTCACCATCTAGAATAGTTCATTTCCTCACAAGGAATCTGTTCTCCAAAGGAATAGTCTTATTCACACAAGCTGTGTGTGGTACAGAGTTAAGGGGATCATGCACTCCGGCCGGACCATCTCCTATGAGGATGAGGATTGGCCGGCCGGACTGTTACCAATGTAAATGTTTCTGTGGCAGGTGCAATGTGCATGCTGGTACAACATTTCAGTGTGACACCCAGACAGACAATAATCCAAAGTATGTCTCTCACAATATAATGCATATTCACCTTATCTTCATCCCCGAGTTCAGCTTCAAAGAATAAGACTATTCCTTTGGGAGACTTGCTTGTTGCATTGAAATGTGCTACTCTAGATTGTGGAACATTGCGGGGAAAGCATATTGGCTTCAGGAAGTAAACACAGTATGACATGTATACCCATACACCCTTGCCTTAACTCTGTACTACATTCAGCTTATGTGAATAAGACTGTTCCTTTGGAGGATTCACTCCCTATGGGTAAATGAACCATCAGAGGTTGTGAAACAGTGTTTTGAATGTAGATTGTCTGCAGGAGTCAACATTGTTCAGCACGGTACCATATCTGTATGCCCCTTATCTGTTGTCCTGTATTCAGCTTCAAAGAATAAGACTATTCCTGTTGGGGATATACTCTATGCATTGAAACAACACATCCTAGATAGTCAAACAGTGTGGGAAAAGAAAACTGGCTTCAGAAATTGATTAGCTTGTTGTGCAAAGAAGCCTGTGAGTAAATCTTGTTTTGCACATCCTGGCCTAACTAGACATCTTTGGTCACTAGGGAATTGATACTATAGTCTATCAATGAAGTACTACCAGTCAATACCAAATTTCCTTATATGGCAATCCGACAGCCCGGCTGTTTTCACCGAGCTTCGGCCAAATCTTCGGCCCGAGAAAATGCCCAACTCTTCGGCCCGAGGCAGTACTCAAATCTTCGGCCCGAGAAAATTGTCAACTTTTCGGCCCGAGACAATGCTTGCCCGGTCGGTGAAGCAAAAGCTCGGCCCGGAAATGTCTGGCTGCTTTGGCCGAGTTTTGGCTGTACCCTCGGCCCGAGACATTGTGTTTTCGGCCGGCAAAAAGTCCGGCCGGACCATTTGTAGTGGTGGGGCCTGAGGCCGGCCAGCTCGTTTGCAATGCTATATCTGTTGACCGGCTGGACTGTTTGCAGCGTGGACTGCCTGGCCACTTTGAATTCTGCCTGCTCCGGCCGCAACGTTGGGAACGAGGGATGACCGGCCGGCATACCCTCCGGCCGGAGCATTGCAACGTTGGGTGAAAGAGGCCGGGTGGATCGTTCAGAAGTGGGGGGGGCGGCCTGGGTGTAGTCCGGCCGGAGCGTTGCAACGTCCAGTGAAAACAGGCCGGCCGCAAAATTGAGGAGGGGGCAGGGCTGGCATGCACTCCGGCCGGAGCGTTGAGCAGTGGGGGGTGGGCTGGCACGCGCTCCGGCCGGAGCGTTGCAACGTCCGGTGAAAACAGCCCGGCCGCAACATTGGAGGTGGTATTTGAGGAGGGCAGGGCCGGCCGCAACGTTGTGGACGAGGCTGAACCGGCCGGCATGATCTCCGGCCGGATCACTGGCAACGTCCACGTCTGCAACGTGGACCCGGACCCCTCCGGCCGGCGCCGGCCGCCACGTTCGAAACGGGCAAATCTCACTCCGGTTTTAACGTTCGGAACGTGTAAGACACACTAAATAATGTGGTCGAAGACGGTCTCATAGCGCCCGGACGGATACTTGCTGCGATAGGCACCGAAGGTCGAGTGCAGGTGCGTATGCGTATCAACGATTGGTGTGATTATGCCCTCTGGGATGGAGGAGAGACGCGGAAGGTGTAGGTGCTGCTCGTCAGGTACGGAGGACTTCTTGTTCTTGCCCATGGTGGTCTTACGCGGTCGCGCGTGTGGTTGTGGGAGTGGTTGTGGGAGTGATCGAGGTAATTCCGGGTTCCGGGGGTAAGGAGGAATTTCTGAGGCCTCCGCACCCACTCGGAAGACCTCTCCACGCACGTCGCACGTGCATCCCGAGCCAGGGGCGCGTCGGGCTCGACCAAGCTCGCTCTGATGTCAGCGACCTGCTGACGGAGGTCAGACGAGCATGCTCATTGGTCAGTCCTGCAGCCCGCTGCGCATCCCCTATCCTAAACAGGGTCTTAACCTCGCGTACGGGCGCAGCGCACAGATCACCCTTCTCGCTGCCGCCCCGCAGGTACGTCCGATTCAGCCGCCTCGCCGCTGATCGCGAAGCTCACCCGCCGTGAACAGATATAGTACGCCTCGTATATTTTAGCGTATCGCGCAAACAAAGGCACACTATATCTCACAAGTCTGTCAGACTTCGAAGCTTCGCATCTGCATACCGGCTACTCCACCCTCGTAGCCCATCGCTTCGCTCACCCGTATGTCGAATTCCCATGTCTCTTCGTGTAAGGGACGCGTAAGCGTAAGCGCCGGGATACATCGCACGAGCGCCCGACGCTCGTCCGAATAGATATATTGTTTTCTTTCCTTTTCCTTTTCCGTTCTCTTTCCTGACTCACCATAGACTCGTTCTAGACCTATTCCTAATTGGTACATGCTATGCTCGGAGTGGCATCGGAGTGGCGACCTGTGCCACAGCTTGCCACTCGTCCTTTGTTCTCTGACTCTTCTCGCTTACATCATATGCCTGGTTCACTCGATTCGGCCTACGTTCACTCATGTATAAATACAGTACCTACGACGGGCAAAGGCCCAAGCTTCGATACAAGGACGTTGCCTACTCACCTTTGTCCGTGTCCAACTATCGACTTCCCGTGTGTTTCCGACCTCGCCGACGCTACGCCCACCCGCGCCAACGCGCCGACGAGCCGGATTCCTCACACTTCGCCATCTCCTCCGGCGTCTCCTCAGGCCCCTAATGACGTCGGGCCTGACGACCTCGCCGAGCACATTCGCCAACGGGCTCTTGCCTTGCAGCAAATTGTCGATGACGCTTCGCGAGGCGCTCTCCCTATCAATGAAGCCGAACAGCAGCTCCGCCAGTCCGGCGCTTCTGCCGAGGAGGTGGCCGACTACGTTCAGCAACTTCAGGCAGCGCGGCAGCAACCACCTGGGAGTCCAGCTAGGAGGCAGGATCCTGGCTCTCCCGATCGCGGCCCGGAAGATCGGCCCGGCGGTCTGTCAGGCGGGGAAGCAGCCAACGAGGTTGCCTGGGCGCTACTGCGCCAGAAGCTGGAGTCTTTGCGCTCGGACTCCGGGCAAAGCGGTGACCTCACGAAGGCTCTCCTCGGTCTGGTGGGTCCCTCCAGTGAACGTCCGCCTTCCATTCCATCCACCGTCCTTGCCGGGGCTCCCCACCTCGCTGCTCTTAAACCGGCTATCGGCGACGAGCACATCCAGGAGACATGGCGATTACGTCAGCTGTATAGCACCGAGAAAGCCGTCGATCCCATTATCAACGCAATGCAGCAGCAGACGTGGCGACATCCGCTTCCTCGCTCTATATGGAAGGACCTCGTTGCCGACAAGTTCGTCAGCTTCGAACGAATCTTCGCCACTATGGAGCTTGGCTACGATCATGACGAAGACACTAGGGAGCTTGCGCCAGGCCTCTCACTCGTCCGCAAGGACACATCCTCAGCTAAGCGACCTCTTCGTACCGAAGCCGACTGGCAGCGAGTCTTTGCAGCTTGGGCCGATGCGACGAAGGCCTCTACCCGCACCGAGCATCCGAGCTTGACGAGTATCAGCGCTTTGTCTCGGAGCTATTTGTCGCCGCTCCTTCGAACCCTCTTACGCCATGGGGGCAGATCTTGCTATCCGCGACAGCTACGCCAAGGGCCCTTTCCGGCTCGATGACCGCTCGCGGACACACGTCCATGTTCTCACGCAAACCCTTCGCTTCTCGCCGACCCAAAGCCTTGGGAAGCGAGCAAATACAAGCAGTTCTAGCACCTCGGCGGCTTCGAAACGGAGCTCGCGCAGCGAGTCACGCTGTATCAACTGGAACCTTGGTCGGTGTAGCGACCCTTGTGCTAACTCCCGAAGCATGGAGAGTGCTGCGAGTGTGGCGGCCAGCACCGAGCAAAAGACGAGGCAACGTGCCTCGCTTCTGTCCAAGCTCGCAAAAGAAAGGAGCTCCTGGTGACGCGCGAGGCAGCTGAGAAGGCTGCAGCAGGTCCTACTCCTTTTCATTCGTCCTCTGTTGAACTCGGCAAGCGAAAGCAAGTCCCTGGGCTTGACGACGAGCTACCAAAATATCGACGCGGACTTGCTTGGTCATCATCTTCATCCTCCACTTTCTCTCCTTCTGCAAGATACACCGAGATCGCTCCTCCTCTTCCTCGTCCACCTGCACACCTCCTTCAGAACCGCGAGCTAGCCAATTCGTTAGCTCGATGTAGCAATCACATTAAAGTAGAAACCCCATTCGACGTCAATCGACTGAGCGACATGCTTGTCGATCATCCGAACCAACCTTTCGTGCAGTCCGTTCTCACAGGCCTGCGAGAAGGCTTCTGGCCGCTGGAGGATGGTGAATGGAAGTTAGAACTGGAAGAGGTTGTCGGCAACTACTCCACGGACGAGCCAGATCTCGACGCGATGTGGTGATTGCGAGTCCCCGGTGCGTGGACGACGCGGAAGGGAATTCTTGGTATCGGTGAAAACGATGGGCGGGGGTCGTTGGTGCAAGTTGACGGTTCGCGGAGGAAGCGAGCGAGGTCCGTGGTACCTCGCGGAGGGAAAAGGGGAGATGGGGTGGTGCGCCGCACGCTTCGTCCGCGATGTCCTTTAGTGAAGACTGCCTTTCCTGAGCCTGGTATACTCGATAGCCTTCCCTCCGACGTTCCTAACCTGAGCTCTCCTGGATCCTGAGCCTGAGCCTAACTCCTGCGACCTTCCTTAGCCTGAACGCGAGCCTGAGACGGGACCTGAAGCCTGAGATTGCCCGGTGCAACCTAGATACTGAGTCCTGAGAGGTAGTGGTAGGTAACTAACTCCCCCTCTCCTCCGCCCTACCCTCCTAGCCCCCCTCCGCTGCCTTTCCCACGTTCCTACCTCGCTGGCACCCGTTCCCCTCCGTTCCTACTCCTTCCGCCCCCGTGGATCTCCCTCCGCCGTCCCTGCCATCCTCTTCCGTTCACCGGTCCACCGTCGTTGGAGTCCTCGATGCCCGCCGACATCCCACCGAACCCCTCGACCATTGTCTACACCACCCGTTTCTACCGCCTCATCGACCTCATTCGTGACGAGCGTGTGGTAGAGCCCCGTCTGAACCCCGATAGCGACCTGGAGTGGCTCGCTTGGGCCCATGGCGCCCGATGGCTCATCGTACGTGCCTTCTCCCGCCTCGTCCTCCACGTCTCGCCAACCTTCCTCCGTTCCGCGCAGCGGATGCTCTTCGATTCTCGGTCTCGCGCGGTTGCCCACGGCGATGCGTCCCTTCCGCTCGTCCGCCGATACTCCGACGTGCAGGACCTGATCGAGTACCTCGACCAGGTGTTCCTGACTCTCCCGTCTCAGCACAGCTACGTCGGCGAACCCTATCCATTGATCGCCTGGGCTCCGAACCGTGTCACCGCTGAGCAGTCCGACGCCGAGCTCGGCCGCCCGCTCCTTCCGGTTCGATACTTGGAGCGTCCCATGCAGTTGTCTTCCTTCCGCGCCTCCTCCGACAGCCTCGATGGTCTACTCACCCGGTTCCAAGGCCTTCTTGACGAATGCCGCGCCGCTAACCGTGACGCCCGTTCCGAGGCCGTCCGCATCGCCCGGGGCCTGAGTTCGGTTGAGGTCAGCGTCCGCGACTTGCACGCTCGCTTGTCGGAAGGAGTGTACGTTCCGGACGGCTACTCCGGGATACCGCGTGGCCTGCGGTTCGCGCACCCTCAGGACGTCGAGGCGATGGAGGAGGGAGAGGTCGAGGATGAGGTGGCGGAGGAACCTGATGTCCATGTACAGTAGTTGTCTTCGTTCCGCGTATTTACTTGGTCATCCTTCGCCGAGTCGTCCTTTCACTAATCGATGTCGCTTCGTTCCGCGTTGCCCGCCGCCTGAGAGAGTGTCGTTCCGAGCTCGTACCGTTGCTCCCATGTGGGCCTACCCCACAACGTGTGGCAACCCTAAACGGAGATTTACGAAGTACTAACTGTTGTACCTAGATCCCCTCGATGATTGGTTGGCCGATGTCTTGCGCGGGTACTACAAGATCAATGTGACGGGCTATCAGGAGATACGGGCGAGGCTCAGAGAGGACCATGCGGTCAATATTGGGTACGCACATGGTGTACTGCATGTGAAGCTATGGTACTGACGCAACACCGAAGTCGTACGAAACTTGCCGAGTATCTGCGCACACTTGGCCTAAGTGTCCGCAAGTGCCAGTTACCTGAGACAGAGCAGACACAGCTCGTCGTCGACGAAATGGAGCGTGATCCTGCGAATGCAAACGGGCCCCGCTGGGTGAAGGCGACGCTCGGTCTCAAGGGCATACATATCCCGCGGTAAGGCCACGGTAGTTTTGTGAATCGATACAAATTGAATACTGAGGATAATTCAGGTCGACGGTAGATCGCGTCATGCATGCCTACGCACCGCAAGGGTTCGTAGATCGCCACCCACTCTCATGCCGCAAGACGCTTGTTCGAACACCACTGACCTCTGTCGGCCCAGACGAGGAATGGTCGATTGACGGTCACGACAAGCTTGCTCACGCGGGCTTTGGTATCTACGGCATTGTTGACAAATGGGGTGGCGGGAAGCTGCAGTTCAACGTGCTCCCATCCAACCGTAAGGCGAAGGCTTGTCTAGTGGTATTCCTTCGTTGTGCGAAGGAGCGAGGTGGTATGTCACACAATGCTATGTAGTGTTGCTGCGAAGCTGATTAAACATTTTCAGGTGTTCCTGTTCAGGTTACGAGTGACCACGGTTCGGAGACTGGGGATATATTTGCCCATCAGAAGGCATTACGGTGAGTCTAATCTACTATAGTAGATACTGTCGATTGATCTATCGCAGCCAGAAGTATGCGCCGGAGCTTGACTCCAATGTGATCCTGGCTTACCGGTATACATCGAGCCCACGGAACATCACAGTTGAGCGACAATGGCGCCCCCTGTTCCAGAAGTGGGGGACAAATGTCCTCGCTGTGTATGATGCTGGTCGCTACAGTGCAGACTTCGATGCGGGTAACTACATGCACGGGTAAGTACTAAATCTACATGTACACTAGAAAGACTTGCTCAATGTACTCTTAGGCAACTTGCTAACTGGATCTGGTTCCCACTTGTCCAGCGTGAACTTGATGCTTGGTGCAACAGGGAAAATGGGCAGTATATCCGTCGTCAGCCAGATAAACTGCTGCCATCGGGTGCGAAGCGTTCAGACTTCTATCGCACACCTGTAAAGTGGGGTGGTAAGCCTTGCCTTGTTCCTGTTCCTCAGGCTGAGTTGGAGAGACTGTTGAGGAAGGCTGAGAAGGAGGCTGAGAAGGATATGGAGTATGTAGATGAAGAGTACCAGGCCTTGGCTGAGGAAGTATATGCAACAATTGGTAAACCAGAGATAACTTTAGATACAGCTTGGATAGTCTTTAGGCAGATGATTGCTGCTGCTGAGGCAGAAGCTTGAAACTGTCCTAGCATATACACACTGTTATTCATTTATGAATTGTAGAGCCCTTGGTAGTGAATGCACACATTACTTGAGCCTTTAGGTATAGTGCTGGGTGGTAAGATGATGGGGAATGACTCACACAACAGACATTGTCTCATTATGGCCCAATATCAATCACACAGGGAGTACAAATCCCAGTTTACAAAAACAAATTAGATTTTGTATTAAAAGGCTGTAAGTAAATGGCCAAAGGAATGTTGTATGTTACTGCTGAATCCATCTGCTATGCATATACACCAGGATTGAACTTCACCTAGGCTGCATCTACAAAAGGTTGGAGCTTGAGTTTGGAACAGAGTCTTGAGCATGCATGTTTTAGCTTGAAGTCCAAAACAGCATTTTGGCCTTGATCATGGAGTCCTTCATCACCAGAGATGCTATGATAGAACAAAGATCAATACAGTCAACAGAGATAGCTGAACAAGCTGTACTCACGAATGGATCACAGGATCAAATATCTGTAACTTGGCCCCACCCTCTGTTATGCTTGCTGAGGTATTGATCAGTTATCAATAAGACAGACAAACAGAAAACAAGACTTACTCTTGAAACTTGCATATACCTTGTCACCATCACAGCTATGCAAAGAATAGTGTGAGAGGGCTACAGTGAGGGCATTGATCTCAGCCTGGATCTCTGGTGCAAGATCACCCGATAGCTCTTCAGCGGCAGCATGTGGGCAACAGACTAAGACAGTCTTGGGTACTTCATTGCTGTCTTCAAGTTCCAAGGCAATGAAGTAAGTGGGAACTTCAATGTCTAGAACTGAGGAAATATGAGCACTGATCTACAACGAGGAAAAATATTTCCTTACACCATGCAGGCTGCTTTCCAAGTGCTGCCAGAAAACCTGAGAGCAAATCGCCAAGCCTTGCCACACGAAGGACTTGAAGCTGAGCAGCATCTAGCTCTGAGTTGTAGACATCAAAGCGTGGGCCTCCGAGGAGAATGGAAGCATCATCATCGACAAGAAGCTACAGGGAAAATTTTAGTAGGCATTACTCTACCCAAGGAAAGCATACCTCTCGCACTCTGCTTGAGTTGCCAGCAGTCAATGGAATATGGAGTTTCCCCTGAAAGTCGTTGACAGATCTCTGAAGTGACCATGTTTCATCCTCACGAACAGGCTGCTCATAGAAAAACGTGATCGAGCGATGTAGAACGATAGGACGCAGTGGCGATGGAGGCTTGACTGTCGGCGCCTTACGGCGTGCAGCACCTGCGAGAAGATGGACCTATTAGCATGTAGGCAAGACATAGGAAAGATATACATACGTTGCTTCTTCGGCAGTGCTGGCTCGATAGGCTCCTCCTTCACCTCGTCCTTCACCTCTACCTTCACATTGACTGACCTGTCATCAAGCTTTTCCTTCTTGATGGGTGGTGGCGAGGCCGAGTCAGATACCCGTTGTTTGCGCTTGCAAGAAGTCTTGCCTTGACGGCCGCGATCACGATCACCACTGTCGTCGGAATCCACCTTCTGATGCAGAAATGATCACGACCTTGTACTTCATAGTCTACAAGAACGAACTCACAGGCTGGGTGCAGCTGATTGGCACAAGAACGCCAATCGCAGGCGAGAAGTGCTTGATCTGATGGTCATTGAAGTACAGCCCCTTCTGGCGTGTATGTAAGTCCCAGAACTGCCGTATGGACCCGTACTTCTTCGGTTTGATGTGAGTGTACTGCGTAGTGACCTTCTGCTTGAAGGTGAGGCATACATCACGACTACAAAACGGTCAGAACATCGAATGACTATGACCGAAACACGTACATCGTGACAAGCGCATCATCACCATACGCCTTCCTCCACTGACCATCCTCGCTGTTCAACTCCTCGACAACCTTGGCAACCAATGCATCCATCGACTGCCTCACAACAGTCAGAATACCACTACATCGAAACAACCGGTCACTCACATCGTTCAGCGCGACTTCACAGCGGAACGCCGGGATACAAGTGGCTGTTGTCTTGCCATTCTTGTTCATCAACATGACGTCGCAGTGGAACGTCAGCGACTGGACAGTTGACACGGATGTCTTGAGCACGGCAGCCTTCTGTTGGCCTTGCCGAAGCTTGCTGAACTTCGCTGTCGTAAGCATAGACGAAGATGAGGGTGTGGCCGGGATGCTCATCGACCTCCCCTTCACCCGGTAAGACGTTACCGTCTTTCTATGGCGATTGATGGCGTTGTCGATGGATTCCGGCTCTGCATTCTCCAATTCCTCCTCGTCGTCGTCGTCGTCGTCGTGGTTAACGATTTCGATATCCGAAGACTCGGCGATCTCGAGCGGTGCATTCCAATCTCCATTTCCGGAGATGATGCGAGGGCCCGTTGCAGGAACAGGGCGTTGTCGAGATGACGAGGCGGTGGCGGGGCGCGACCGTGACTTCTGACCGTGTCGCATCGCGGCGCTCGACGTCGATGCTTGTAGAGGAGCCGCGGCGGTCTTTGACGCTGACGCCGCTCCACCATGAGACGGAGCGCGTGCTTGCCCCGCTGCGGACAGTCTCGAGTTAGCTCATTACATGAGGTCATGGGTAATAGAGGACTCACCGGAAGGCGCTGCCACGGGTTGGTCTTTCCCCTCGCAGATTGCACAGATTTCTGCCTCCAGGTAGCGGAATGTGACTCCACAACCCCCACACTGCAAGAGTTTCTTTGGTACCACATCTCATCAAGCTATGTATGCAAAGTCATTCACTCATGATACGCACCGAGATCAATTCCAAAGCCGCCGCATCTCCCGCATCCTGCCGTTTCCGACACTTCGAGCACTCATCTCCATCCATATGTCGGAATGATTTGCCACATCCTGAGCAGAGGCCCATAGGTATCAAAGAGTGTAATGTAAATGAATGAGTGTGTTGCGACGAGAGAAGACGAGTAATTCCCGCCGTGAGCGAGCGGACAGCTGAGGACGCGAGGACAGCGCGTGTGGCGGACGCGTGGCCCGAAGCGCTCATCCACGGACTAGCGGGTAACGGTAGACGTAGCACAGATTAGCGCCGCGACGGATAGTGTCGCTAGTCCGTCGCATGGATGATGTGTCCGAGAATCTCCCGTGAGATACGAGCAGAGAGTGCCTATGGCGAGGTGCTTAAGAGTGGAACCGTATGTATGCTGCCGGACATCGCAGGTTGTCGCTGACGCTTGCCAGTGGTTCCAGCACAGTAGCGAAGTTGATTCGACCACGTTTGCAGGAAATAGAGACCTGAGACACACAGAGAGGCCCTGAAGTATATACTTATAATGTGAGCCATGCCGCGAGAACGGAGTCGTCGAGAGCAAGGCGTGGGCAAGGCGACAGCGTAGGATCCACCGAGGTTCTTCCGAGCTCCTCCTCCGCAATTATCCAGGACCAGTCCGACCACAGTCGCCGGGACAGCGCCGCTCACTCGGTACGTCTGAGGCCCGCTGCTCGTCGTCGCTCGAGACTTCAGCGCATACATATTACCTTCTTTCTCGACACACGCAATCGCCCTGCTACCGACAAACAAAAGACCTCAGGCTGTTTGGGTGTCCGCAACTCATGATCAGTCTGCGGACTACATATCATCATGCATCCTCCTGTCCGCCGTATGCCTCTGCACGCAACTTTTATGCTCCTGGACTGGGCAAGAGCAACATGCTGACTACGTTCCGCGACCAAACAACAGACACGTCTATGCATGTCTTCCTTGTTGACGCGGTGAGTGTGCTCCCATGTTCCTACGTGCGCTGGCACTGAGAAAGCGACGTAGAAGACGCGTCTGGGGCGCGCAGGCCAGCGACGTGTCGCGGAGCCTGCGACTGAAGCACGGCATGGGCGAGCCTGGGCAAGCAAGAGGCATCAAGCCGCCGGCTTGTCGGGTGCGCCGCCTGGTCGGGTAGTCTGGTGTAAGTCCGTACTGTCAGAGTCGGTATGCTCATGCTTATACACTCGCTCGGCCTCCGTTGCGCATGCATACGCCTTCCCGTTTGCTGCCAAGTCGTCCCTTGTTCCCCGTACCAGATGCTCTTCCCGTACCCGGTACCCCGCGAACGCAGTCCAACAGCCCGTCTGCACGCATCCTCGCCCAGCCGATCGGACGCCGGCTTGTACGAACGTGGGCCTGACAGCTAAGTCCACATCATCCCCGCACAAAAGTGCTATACGAAGTAGGAGCGGAGGTCGTCGGACGTTGGGATTCAGTGATCTCGCTGCCGCTCAAGCGCTCAACCTGGGCCACCATAGCCAAGGTCGCGGCTACCTGGCTCAGCCTGGCTGTCGAAGTCCGCTACGTCCGGTGTGATCCCGTATCAAACCCGCTGGACTCCGCCTATGCATGTTTGAAAGGCGCGGGGACTGACGATATGGACTCAGCTGTAAACCGCGCCACCCAGGCCTGCGCTTCGGGGCGACGTAAGTATTGGTGATGAAGCTTGAAGGCTGGAGGTGTCTGTAGTAACGAGTAGGCGTCCGGGACGGAGCCAGGAGCCTGCGACTGAAGCACGGAATGGGCAAGCGAGAGGCACCAGCCGCCGCCGGCCTGTCGGGTGCGCCGCCTCGTCGGACAGTCTGGTGCAAGTTCGTACAGAGTTGGTCTGCCCATGCTTATACACTGGCTCGGCCGTAGTCAACCTCCCCGTTTGCTACCAAGTCGCCTCTTATCCCCCGTACTAGGTCCTCTTTCCCTTCAGTCCCCTCGGGCTCCCCGCGGCCCTCGGTACACAGCGAGCGCACTGGTCGAAACTACGAACTCATCCCACTTCTCCGTTCCACGCCACTACACACCTCTTCTATCACCTTGGTTATCCCTACGGTTACGCTTTGACCGCGCCCTATCTACAAGCATCATCACCACTCAGAAACCGAACAAGCCGCCTCCTTGGTAGGGATTCGTCTGCTCACTCACCCCTGGGCCTGGTGCCGTTACCGCTTCAGCCTACTTTCCAAGGCGTTGTCGGCGTAGCCCTCCTCCCTACTCACCCACTCTGATGGACTCGGAGATTCAAGAATGGGATCAAGTCTTCCAGTTTGTGACCGACCCTGTCGAAGACTCCGCAGTTCCCGGGAAGTCTGTTCTAGGGAAGACGCCCTTGTACGCTTCTTATCCCCCTTCTCAGGTGCCCACTCCACCGGTGAGCAAGCGCAATCAGAGCCTCTTTCTCTCTAGTCGGCTAACAAGCATTTCTCCGTGATGGATCTTCCCGGATCCGCCCTAATCCTCTGCGACGGTACAGGCCTCAGACCAAGGGTCGCCTGGCGAGGCCAACCGGGAGACAAACACCGTTGTCTCCGTCTCGACTACATTCTCCTCAACCGCCAACCTTAACCCGCTCCCGCCTGATCTCATCCTCATTTCCTCGGACGCCGTCTTCTTTTATGTCCACTCAAATCAGGTCCTGGGCGCCTCTGAGAATGGCTTCCGCGGGCTGCTGCCCATGAAGTCTCCGAAAGCCCCCCACCCTGCACTCGAGGCTGTGGGTCTCTCTGAGGACCTCGGCTCGGTCATCCTCCTTCCCGAGTCCGCCGCCACCCTGAACGTCGTCCTCCACAGCATCTACAGCCTGTCATGCGCACGCTACTCGCCTTCGCTCGACGTGCTCATCGCGGCAGTCGACGCGCTCGCGCTGTACGGCGTGCCCGTCGCGCGGCACTGCGCGTCCTCGACGCCGCTGTACGTGCTCATCCTCGGGCACGCACCACTCGCGCCGGTCGAGGTCTACGCGCTCGCGGCGCACCACGACCTGCACGACCTCGCCGTGCCCGCGTCCGCGCACCTGCTCGGCCTTCAACTGTGGACCCTCTCCGACGAGCACATCGTGCGCATGGGCCCGCTGTACATGAGGCAGCTGTTCTTCCTGCACCTGGGGCGGATCGACGCGCTCAAGCGGCTCCTGTTGCCGCCTCCGCGCACGCACACGCCGACTGCGGCCTGCAACTCCGCAGAGCAGAAGAGGCTGACTTGTGCGTGGGCACTGGCCTCGGCGTATTTAGCGTGGGACGCTCGTCCAGGTGCGTTCGTGAGAGGTTGTATCCGAGCGACGACTCACGTTTCTGCTGCAGACCAGTCGACGGGCGCGATGGAGGCGACGCTGTGCCCGCTGGGAGAGCACCTGTCGTGTGGGATATGCAAGAAGAACTTGGCCGCGCGCATCAAGCGGCTGGTCGTGCAGTGGTCGGACGTGAAGGTGCGTCCGCGTCTCCCGCTAGTGCGCCTCTTTATAGGGTGGCTGGCGGCGTAGGGATGATGCGCGTGCTGACTCGCGTATGTGCGCAGCGGACGATATGACGACGTCATGTGTGAGCACCCCCCTATCGCTACCCGCGCGCTGTCGCCGAACCTGCCTCTTTGGTCCCTCTTCCTTCTCCAGACCAGTACCAGACTACCAGTCGTCTGGCGGACATGTCCGTTCCTGTGGGGATCTGTGTTTCGGGTGCCTCCGCCTTAGAGCACAACCCATTTCACGCCATGTATAAGTAGTACGACGGTACGAGTAGCCTTCCGGTGTGCAGAGTGCCATCAGTGTAGTTGTACATCAGTCACGATACCCCGAGTCTACAGCTGTCTACAGTCTCGACGAAATAGTTACGTAAGCTTCCCTATGCACTTCACTGAAGTAATATCTTACCCGGTAACTTACTTACCTACTGTATGCACGTTCGATACAATCCAACTAGACTCGGCTCCGCCAGGGTGCTGCATGCTGATTCGGAGTGGCAATCTCAGGGTTCGTTCTGTCAAACCTGGATCACATTCACAGAGAGTTCTGCCTGGGCCGTTGGTATCGGTGTTGCACAGACGTGCGTACATTGATCCTTTTCGAGAATGACTGGGTATTCAATTGATTGTGTCTACGACAGGCAACACCTCTAAGATTAACGCTGCAGCAGATCCCGGCTCGAAAAGCAGGCATTCTATCTGTTCAGGCAGAACTCAGGCCGCCCCGAAGCGCCAGACTCAGAGTTGTAAGTCGTCGACGCCAAATGATGCAGGCTGAAGTCAACTCACCAGTCTCTCACCAGTTTCAGGAACCATGACAAGTGTTACCTTCGTATTCATGGAGCCGAAGCAGAAGGCGTCCTCGCCGGGACCGAGCCTTAATGAAGCTTGGAAACGCCATATCCAGGAGCTGCTGCCTTCACAGGATCAGCAACGTTTTCACGTCGTAGAGGCTCGGCTCGACACGCTCGAGCCGCCCCACTCCGAGTTCGACTGCATGGTCTCGCCAGCGAATTCATATGGGATCATGGACGGCGGGTCAGTATCCTCTCTTCCACGCACGACCATGATTCGCTGAACCGCCTGTTCCACGCGCGACCACTGACAGCTTCGACTACTACCTCTCCGAGGCCCTCTCACCCAAGGGCGACATCATGGCGCTCACTCGATGCGCCCAAGCCGCGCTCAAGGCCCGCCATTTCGGCTTCGCCCCGCCCGGCACCTGCACGCTCGTCCCGCTCACCCCCGAGCTGCGCCAGAACCCGCGCTTCCCCCGCTGCAGCGTCCTCGCGGTCTGCCCGACAATGCGCTACCCAGTAGACGTCAGCTGGCACGAGGACCTCGTGTACAACACGATGTGGAGCCTCCTGGTGGAGGTAGAGCGGTGGAACGAGAGTGTGAATCGCGGCGAGCGCGAGGGTGAGTCCATACGGAAGGTGTGCATGACGGGGCTGGCGACGGGTGTGGGCGGAGTGCGCAAGGAGGTCTGTGCGCGGCAGATGATCCTTGCTGTCAAGCATTTCCTGGATGTGACCAGTGGGGAAGGTAGGAAGCGGTGGGCACGGGAGGACTTTCCGATGTGGAACGACGTATTGCCCATTGCGGAGGACGTTGTACGCAACAATGTTCAATGAGCCTGGTTGCATCTTCCCTATCTCTGAGGAACGTATCGATATATACTTCGCAATATGTTCAGTCTGAATGTATACCATCAATTCTGACCTATGCACCTGGGAGTGAACTCGGAATTGCCCTCAGATAGCATGGCCCCTTCACTGAGATACATACTCTGCGCAGAGTATCGACATAGCTGTCGCCGCTCGGGGCAACTGCCACTGGCATCTGTAAGAGGCCCATCAACCATATTATAACGCTCACGAACACAACCTAGGACCGGCGCAGGCGAGGCGATGATGATGCATACCAGCATATGCTCGTGCGTACACTTCTGCCAAGGCTCTGAAGAGCACTATCCGCCCGTTTCCCTACGCTCCTTCTTCCTTGATTCTGCTTCGACTTTGCCGCCAGACTTCGGTACGCTCACCAGTACTACCCGAGGGGTACGCCTGATCGCCTCACCACAGACAACTCGCAATCCAATCGCAAACACAACACTCACTCGCCGAGCCTGGAGGCATGACCACCGTGACACCATCCTCGTCCACGCCGACGACCTCATCCTCCTCGCCCCCACCCAAATGGCCCTACAACGCCGCGCGCTCAACTGGCACCGAATGCACGCCTCTCCTCGCCGCCCTCCTCGCCGCCAGCACCCTCGACGAGATCTCGATCGGGTCCGACACCTTTCAAATGGCCATGGCGGGGTACATCCGTGGCCAAGAGCGCGTCGACGCCGAAGACCGCACTCTCGAGGCGCGCATTTTCTGGGTGTACCCGATGGGACTATGGGGCCCTTTCCGCGAGACGGGGGACGGCAGCATCAAGCAGCAGGGGCTACTCGTAACGATGGAACGAGGTGCGAAGGTTGCAGAGGCGGTTGAGGCGATCAAGGCGAACTTCCACGGGGATGGGACTGCACATATTCACGTTGCTGCCTCCTGAATTATCGCAATTCACAGTACCTGCAAATGTTGACCAGCCCCAGAACACAGTGTATGCCATACGGTGCTAGAGGTTTGACGTTTGACCCGAGGCAATAGAGAAATTCGTACCCAACTTCAAGTGTACTACTTCATGCCTGCTCACGAACGTTTTGAAACGGCCGGACGCGGACGCCTCAGGACTGGACTGCATCTAGTGTACACGGTATGATACAAGCGGCATCACCACGGCCATCCTAGACCGACATGCTCAGCAGGTCACAGCGGCATAGGGAATGAGACAGATCATCTCCATCTCATAGCATAACGACATACAACATGTGGTAACTTAGCAGCGATAGCAGCGAGCTCCAGCGATGCATAGCGAGGACAACAGTGCGCTTTTTGTGAGCCATACAACACCTCCGACGATGCCCTTCAACGACGATGGACGCCAGTCGTTCAGAGCTTCTGGGCGTTGGCCAGCGAGAGGGTCTGGCCGGCAGCCTTGGCACGCTTGCGGAGCATCTGCGCGGACTTGTTGCCACGGATGCCTCCACCCCACTGGCGACGGTTGTCCTCGTACTTGTCAGAGCTACCGAGACGCGTCAGGTGATGCACGACTACAATAAGGCGAGACGACGTACAAGTTCGCCTTAGCAGCAGAGACGATCGTGCTCAGCTCGCGCTGGTCCTCGCTGCGGACGTCCTGGAGGGTCAGGACAGCAGCCGTCTTCTTGTGGACGACCGTGCCGAGACGGGCCTTGCCCTTGACTATCACGTAGGGCACACCCATCTTGCGGCAGAGCGCGGGGACGAAGATGACGAGCTCGATGGGGTCGACATCGTGCGCGATGACGACGAGCGACGCCTTCTTCGCCTCGATGAGCGCGACGCAGTGGTTCAAGCCGTACTTGACGAAGAGAGGCTTCTTCGACTCCTTCGCCTGCGCCTCCTTCTCCTCGGCGGTTGCCTTCGCGGTCGCCTCGAGGCGGGTCTTCTTCTCCTGCTTCGTCTCGGGGCGGTACTTGTTCAGGAGCTTGAACAGCTGGGTCGCAGTGTTCTTGTCGAGGGTGTGCGAGAACTGTGCGATCGCGGGGGGCACCTTGAGGCGCTGGTGGAGGATGACCTTCTGGCGCTGGAGGCGCACGTACTGCGGCCACTTGACGAAGCGCGTGAGGTCGGTCTTGTGTTGGATGTCCTGGCCTGCATAGCGCGGTCATGGACGACACGGTCAACGAGTGAAAGATGTCGGGAGGCCTGCGCACCCACCAATACCGAAGTTCTTCGAGCGAGCCTCAAAGAGAGGGTTCTTCTGGGTCTTGGTCGGCTTGCGCGCCCCAGCGGGAGCGGGCGCGACCTTCTTTCCGGTAGTGGCCTTGGGCTGGTCATTGAGACGAGTGCCATCAGCGATCCATGCCACTGCATAGAAGCAGGTGCTGGCGCGATGTACTCGGAGCTCTAACGCCCGCGCTCACAGAATGAGCACGGGCCCAGCATAGCTACGCCTCATCGCCCATGAATGAGCTCAGCGTGGGCTTGGACATGGTATTGTCCTTGCCGAGACGGGGATTCTGGTGCTGCAGCTGGGCGTTAGATAGTCTTCGAGATGTCATCTGGACGCAAGACGCACCATCCAATGTCTTGCACACGTCCTAACCAGAATTCCCGCCGTTCGAAAGCGCCGAATACATCTCCCAGCACGACGCTACGGAAGTTATGCTCACCATCGTCGTAGGTAGTCTTGAGGAAGGCTGGGTAAGGTCGTTGACGAGGGAATGGAGGCAGTCGAGTCCACGCGATCGAGTGGCTTTAAACTCCGCCCTAAAGTTTGACTCAACATTTACGGCTCCGATGGATTCCGCCACCGGGGCAGGCGCTTGCGAACAACGAACAGCTTGATTCCTCTTGCCAATTCACATTCGATGATACCGGGATGATACTTACAACACACACTTACTCCACGTATGATTGTCGCCTTCCAGCTACAATATTCTCCGTGACTCAGTTCTTCGCAGGCGAAGCCTCGAGCCGAACGCGCATTGACTATACAAGAGTCAAAACCCAGTGGCATGTGAATGGTACGGACATCACTGACAAGTACTTCAGTCACGGTAAGTACTGCCAGTGTCAGGGCGGCCCCCCTGAGCTATGGTATCGTGTTAATTGCGTACCATAGACGCGATGCGCGGTAGTAGTACATACGTAGTCTATGGACCGCGGAAGGCCTCCACATAGTACGAACTTAGCTCGTTCAGTGAGCAGGCCTTTCAATTCAAAGTTCAAACAGTGACACGCACTAGGAATAAACTTGCGCATGCCCATGTCATTTCGGAAAGAAAAAGATAGTTAAACTGATACATGGACTCTCACGACTTTCGGACGACGCACCGTCAGAGCACCCACAACAACCGTACAGACCGGTGCTCGACGCGCGACCCCACGCAACCTCACCGCCCACTCGCATCCTCCTACTCAATTGCTCACAGCTGCTTCAGCGAATCTACCCAGTTGGCCATACCCCCTTGATTCCACTCGCCTCCCCACCCCATCCTACGCTCAAAGCGCTGCGTCGTCGGCGTCGGCAAGACAGTCTTCCTCTTCGCGCTCCGGCGCTTACCCTCTGGATCGTAGCGCATGTTGACGAGCTCCAGCGCGTGCGTGGAGTCCCGAGGGCGGTACGAGCTCTTCACCCAGTACGGCACGCGGGGCGAGCGCACCTCCGCGGGTGGCGCAGGCGACATGGGCGGGCTTGGCAGCGGACCCATCGGCAGCGGCAGCGGCGTCACCGGGAGCGCGAACTCGAGCGGGCGCACGCCGAAGCGCGTCCGGAAGGTCGCCATCCTCTGTGCGTCGTCCGTCAGGATCGAGCGGCGCGCCTCGCGATCGTGCGTTGGCGCTGCACGGGCGAAGTCACCAGCTCCGGGGACAAGGGGAACTCAGCACTGCGCGCAGAGAACTGGGAGTAGATAGAGGGCGAGAAGAGCGCGGAGGTGAAGGAGGCACGCCCGGCGGACAGGACAGGCTCCGGGGGCGCGAGGAAGGCGGAATTCGTCCCGACTGGGGAGAGGACGGACGCCGCGTGCAGCTGGCTGTTCATGCGCGCGCCGAAACTCGGGCTCTCGAGCGCGAGCGCATCTGTGACGCTGTAAAAGTCGCCTGCAGACCGGCTACGCCGCTTCATGGACCCCGTTGAGCTGCGGCTGTTCGCCCTGCCCGCCGCTTGATGAGGAGCGCGGTGACCGCGGCGGTCGGACTAGTAACGGTAACATCGGGCACGGCACAGGGGCGGTGTGCAATCCCGAAGCGAGCGATGCGGAACGCCCGGGTACTTGACCCATCGTCCCCATGCGGTAGAGATCAAGGAAACAAGTGATCTGCTCTGTTTTCTCCTCCACCTGGCCGAAGGAGGGGTAGATCATCTCTTGAGGGATGCCCACTGCGGAGTACTGCGCGAGTTTCTCCAGATTCTGCAGCTTTTCGACCTTGCTCTCTTCCACCTTCTTTACAGTGATAGGAGAGAATGGAGAAAAGGGGGCGACTGGGGACAGAGATGGCGCCTTGACCGCTCTGAGAACCCATGAGAAACTGATTTCAACATGCTGCACAATGAGACTTACTTGAGTGTAGCATAGCGGAATGGTGACAAGGGCAGCGCCTCCGTGCGCGACGCCTGGTTCAAAGGAAGGGCAGCTGGGACCTTCTTCCTCCGGATCCCTCTGCCCGCGTTCGTGGTCTTGCTGGTGTGCGCGGACGCGTCTTGATTTTCGTTCGAAGGGGACGTCACCGTGATTTGCAATACCGGCGACTTGAGGCCATTGTCGTACGTGTCTGCCCGAGTCGTAGCGATATGCACGCGCCTGGCTGGCGACGGGGCGGTGAACGCGCGCAAGGGCGCGCGTTTACCATCCAAAACGCTGGCGTTTAAAGCAGACCTCGGCGTGCTTATGGGCGTAAGCGCGCTCTTGCCAGGGGACACGACGTCTATGACCGGTGTCGCACCCAGCATCTTGTTGACCTTCTGGCCTGACTTGAGTATCCGCGAGCGCTGCTCGGGCTCAAGCTTGATGAGTCCAGGGGAGAGT